TGGCTGCTAAAAAATTCCACAGGGTCAGCCACTTTGTTGAGTTTTCATTGGTGGCCAGTTCGCTTCTGAAAAAGAGCTGTCTAGCTCTGGGCCTTACCTGGAAAAATAAAAACAGTTTTAAATAATTGTTTTCCTGCTCGACTAGTATTATTGACTTTCATCTGTTATGGAAAATTATTTTGTATAGTCTGGTATGGCACGGTATTGTAATGTTGTTATTAGTATGGATTACAGTACTGTGCTGTTATATAAAAGAATAAACTTACAGCCTTTGGTCAAATTTCGATTTAAAGCTTTCGTGACTGCAGGGATTCATCTTCTTGGTTCTCTCGGTAAAGTCACGTAGAAGGGAAATAATAAAATAATAAAAATAGAACATAATAAAATACAATTCTCACGACGTTTCGGCCACAACGCTAGCAGCCGTCCTCAGGTGAAGAACAGGTCTGTCGGAAACGTCGTGAGAATTGTATTTTATTCTGTTTTATTTTTTTATTTCCCTTACCGAAAGAACCAAGAAGATGAAGCCTTTGGTCAATCCACTGCTGGATGACGGCTTCTCCACACCATCATGTTAGCCATGGAGGTTATTTGACCATACTTCATCACACAGATCAGACCAGCTTGGTTAAGTGGGAGGATGCAGGCCCGGTTCGGATATCACTATACACGGACGTTATCCATGCCGGGAATCGGTAACCAGGTTGTCAGTAGTGTGGTTACCTCTGTGCCACCACTTAGCCCACTGTGGTATAAAAGAAAGAATTAAGTGCGAGTATGTTCTTAATTAAAAAATAAACATCAAACAGTGTTTGACGTATGCTTCAGTCTGTACTGTGCATAATTCTGGCAGTAAATGTCGTCGTACTTGATATGGTATGTGCTTTGAATGTGTGTAGTATGGGTCTGTTGTGTATATGTCTACAGAATGTACTTCACATGCGTATAGCGTATGCATGTGTTAACATGCATAATTTATATGTGGTTATATATAATGCATGTGGCATAATTGTAAATCTAATGGGATTTTTTTTAATTAATTTGAACAAAATGCTTATACTCACATGTGTTTTCCAGTATTGCACACACACTGAAAATTACCCAAATATGAATTCTCGCTAAATAAATACACGGGTGGAGCATTTCCATTCCCAGCCACGGCAAACATCAGCGGCGGCGAGTTTTATCCAAATATTGTACGAACTCGGCCCCTCTTCCCCAACCCGCACTGACAAGTGCAGGGAAGTTTGATCAGACGACGCTCACGACCGACACCGCACGATGGAGGCCTTCATCCAGGAGTGCATCGACAAAGGGGTGTGGGGTACATCTTCATTTGTTCTCGTTTCCATGCACTCAGCGACGACGACGACAATGCACGTTCCCATTGCAAATTGACAATGTGACTCTCAATGCGCGTTTCACCTGGTTAAATAAACTGGCAGCAATTATGCACAGTTCCTGGGCTGGTTTTTTCTTAACATTTTGACCATTCTTTTGGGGAAGTCTTGTGTGTGTGTCTGCGCTGTGGGGCGGTGGTGTCGCGGTTAATGTGCTGCGCTACGAACAGTGGAAACCCGGGTTTGATTCCGGCTCACGGCCAACACCAAAAGTGATGATTATGTGAACCGGTCCTGGGCCTCCCCGATGTGGACTTGGCCTCAAGTGAGTAACTGGTGCGATATGTAAACATTGCCACTAGGGAGACAAAGACGGCCGGGCGTGCTGTTGGCCACCCACCCCCTTGTGTGCCGTGCTGGCCTTCATAGGTGCTACTTGCTATAACAGCACTTGCCTCGACAGTCTGTTTAGGCTATACGGGGGATCTTTGCCTTTGTGGGGCCATTTACATTGAAAGGCACACGGTGTTTGCTGGACTCTGGGGCCGCGCATGGCTTCGGGATAACTTTCAGTGTGTACTTATCAATCACAACACCTGGCCCCTCCCAGTGATGTGAGCTTAAACATGCCTCACCACTTTGTTGGAAAGAGTTAGTGTGCCCCAGTTAGTCACGTTTCGGTGTTAAAATGGTAAATTGGTGGCCAGTACCGGATGATATGTTGAATGGTTTTTCAGTCATTTTGCGGGTAAAATACATGCACACATTTTACAGACGAAACAAGCCTGGGAAAAAAACCCAGCAGTTGGTTGAGGCTTTTTTTATCAGATCAATCCTCCCATATGTGTGGCACACGCACACTCGATAGACCACAATGCAACAGTATTGTAGACAACTATTAAACTGCCTCTGCATTGAGCAGTCACCCCTCTGAACGTCAATCCATTATATAAACACCCGACCAGCAATGTGATGTATTTATCCCAGAAAGCCCCACCGAGTTTTGTAACGCTCTGTCAGGAGGGTATTTCTTGGGCCACTTTATTCAGTACAGTACAAATATTTCAATATTTCAACGGAGCGCCTGACAATAACCAACATGCAGGCTGTGTGTTTCCATTGCGAGTGTTTATCTGATAAACAGAACGCAGAAGATAGGAATGCAACTGCAAAGATTCTCAAATGCTTTCCAACGTGCATTTGTCCTCAAAAGTATTTTTTTATGTCTAATGAATACGTATTACCTGCGGTGAACTGGATCAGAAACATTGAAATGAACAAAGAAAATGTGTAAATGGAAGTAATCCTGAAAAGTTTTCAAAGGATCATTGCGACATGAACATGGGGATTTGAGAACGTGCCGGATAACGTATTGAGTGTTTGTTGAAGTCTTAATTAGAATCAGAATCTTTATTTAGACTGGAAGAATCCGATGAGCTATGAAGCTTTTTCACAGATGCCCAGTGGGGGCAGCTCAAAAAGTTACAACAAGAAACAATACGAACACAGGCAGGAGTGCAAAGTATAGGGAATTTTAGCAAATCACTAAATAAAAAAATCACTATATACGTGGGCTTGGGCAGGACGCATCGCTAGAAGGGATGATGGTTGATTGGAAAGATTAATGACATAGTGACAGCCAAGGGAAAGCACGTGCCCAAAAGTAGGTGAAGGACCATCAAGGAGATGGAGCGTATAAATATTATCCTGATTCAATGACATCAGCTTGTGTGCAGGTACTGGGTTGGATTGTCATGTCGCAGGAGTGGTGATGGCTTGGGTGTGCGTTCATACAGCAGTGGATTGGTCATGGCCGATGAAGAATGACGTTATTGCTTGAGCCCGGTAACGAGGTGACAGGATGACGGTGCATATGACGTTATTGGGATTCATGTACTCAGGGTGCATGATGTCATCGCCATGGGAAAAAAAGGCTTTTCTATTTAGAAGTAGTGTTATATCCTCGAGTTTTGGGCAATCTTCTGATCGATCTGCTCCTGTATTCTGCAGGATAAAAAAATCCTCATGAGAACAAATTAATATTAAAACAATCATTTTGGACATCTGAATGAGTTATTTTGACCCCCTTGATATCGACAGATGGATAGAGCTAATGCGTTCATGCTTTCGTCCTTAATTGGAAAGTATAAAAAAAAGTACAAGGGCAATGGAATTGGCATGATTCACATCAGTAATTGTCATAACGTTAATCTCTGAAGTATTACGCTATGAGTGTATCCGATACATTACAATCATAAGACGTTTTACAAAATGTAATAACTACATCGGTGTAGAAACCACAGCACAACAGGCTGGTCCAGATGTCTTGTGACCCCTATTTAGTTCTCTAAAACGTCATATTTGTATACCGATGGGGCGTGAAAACAGAAATGAATAAGCAGAGGAACAAAACATTTTTACGGGGCAATTATTTGGCGGGGGGGGGTTGAGGGGGGTCACAATATATCTGGACCATCCTGTACTGTTGCCAGGGCTCAGCACTCACAAGAGCAATAACGAGCCTCAGGGACACAGCAGCCAGGGCAGCACCAATGAGTCACATGACCGATGCAACCACAGAGGTGCCACGTTCACCTCGATAGGGTAGGACAGGGTTTGTATGTAAAAAAAAAATCCCTCCCAGAAGGCCATGTGGCCGAAGGTACGTGTATAAAGAATACTTTTTTTTTGGAAAGGGTGCGTATTGTCTGCGTATATGTTGAACTTCTTTAGCACCATACCTAGCCAGCCGTGCTAATCGGAGGGTTGAAGCCTCTAAAAAAAACGTTTCTGCCACGATCGCCTCTGCCTGCGTGTCCAGTCATCGGCAATGACCTGTGTTGCTTTTTACTCGCACCACCACTGTGGCAACGGCAAACATTTCTCGAGATCATCACTGATTCCTCCGTTTACTTATTGCAATATGAATATTACATTACCACGGCGGCATGGTTTCGTTGGTGTCATCATAATAATAACACTTGTGTTGCATTATTTAGATGTCAAATATAACTAACGTGTGTATTGCATTCGGGAAAAGTGTATATCTACATAAAAAAAAACAATCCCCCACAAAGCCTCACAGTTGAGTTTTATTTGAGCGATTGGCTTTTGCAGTGTGACCAATGTGGTTGGGGTGTGGCAGGCGTATTTATTTAATGTGCGTGGCTTGGCACAATACCTTAAGCGCTATAATTACCTCCACAAGGCACACCTCACGTCAATTACAGAAAACACGGGGCCTGCCCAATGTTGATTCATCATCAAACACTTGTTGCCCGAGGTAGCAGAATGCAAGGTTTTTTTACGGTTTAAATCCACAAACTTTTACACTCGGAAATGTTTTCTACCACGTCTATATTTAATTACCTTGACGACATCACTTGCGAGTGTAGTTAACAGTTCTTAAGCAGTCGGCCAAACTATAAAATTGTTGAACATTTTCTCACGAATGAAAATTTGAATCTAATTAATATTTACAGAGCGCTTGGACTATTTTCTGTCTTGAGAAAACTTCCAGAGGGACCTATAATCAACATTCATTGAATCAACGTGTGCGCGAATGCGTAATTGAATAAAGAACAATTACAAAACACAACGATAAGTAATGCATGCATTGGTTAACGTCATGTGCGGTCTCGCAACTTGTGTTTTGTGTAGCGGGCAGGAGCGACTTCCTTGAAACAAAATCATCCCATCGGAGCATTGACGAGGAGAGGAGGAGAAGGGGTGTTTGGACATGGCGGAGGGCGAGGTGGACATCGCATCGCTGGAGGATTCGTTTAAAAAGTTCGCCGTCCTGGGAGACACGAAGGCCACGGGCAAGGAGCTTAACGGCAAAAACTTTGCCAAGCTGTGCAAAGACTGCAAGGTCATCGACGGCAAGGCAATCACATCAACCGACGTCGACATCGCGTTCTCCAAAGTCAAGTGAGTATTTTTGCCACGCGCCAAAGCGCTATGCTCTGGAGACGTGATCACATGGCCGGCGTTTGCTTTTAGACGAACGGGATGGGGGGGGGTGCGATTTGACAGGGTCGTGCGATGTGATTGTGCGGACGTGGGCAGCCAAGGTTTCGTTTAGCATTCAATGTTGAGCACGTTTCGTGCATTAGATCCGGTGACTTAACGGGAGCTGTCCGGCTGACGTCACGGTGACGAAATTCGGGGGGTGAACGGTGTCATGTCTGGGCTCCGCGTACGTCACAGCTGATCATTGGAGCCTTTCTCTGAGCTCGGGCTTGCGAGCGTGAGATACGATACCTCCTTAACGCATACCAATCGATATCTTGCACGGTTTTTTTCGATCATTTCTTCTGTTAATATCTATTGCCCAAGTGTTTTGCTTTCACAGATTCTCATTTTTGTTTTCTAATCCGCTAACTTAATGCCATGCGTGTGGTTTGACTGAACCCAGGTGTGTTCTTCATTACACTACTCTCCTTTGAAAGGTTCATGAGTGTGAGACAGACTGCTTAATTGAAGACATATGGTGTTCAACTTGCAAAGCATTACTAGGCTTAGCCCTTATGCCCTGAGCTGTGTAGCCATTGCACAGAAGCAGTGGGTGTAAGGTGGGTGGGACATCTGTGCCAAACTTAACCTGGCCTCAGGTGCGGACAGCACCGAGTGGTTGTTTCTAAATTATCTTGTCAGTAGCTTCAGGGTGTTCACTCTTCATTCTGTACTGTACTTGGTAAATATATTTATTTGACGCTCAGGAGCTCCAGGTTTCATCACTGTTGTTGAAGTGTAAAAGATTTGTCATGCTGAAGAGTTTGAGGTCTCGTCCCATTTTTACCTTGAACTGATAAACAATTTACTCGGTTGGAGACTTGAACTAGAACCATGAGCATTGGCGAATGCGACAACCGACCGTAAAGAGTGTACGTTTAAGTGAAAACGGTCGCCACCAAGATGGCTAAATTGTGCTTAATGTCCAGCGTCCTGTTGGAGAACGCTCCTGTGCAGTGTCCAAGCCACCACCTGTCCCGTGCACCTGCCTTAGCGATGTTTGCAGTGCACAAAAGGGTTTGGCTTAAAGACAATGCGGGCAATGCAGACAATGCAGCGTCACCTGTTTTTCTGGTGCTGCTTTTTTTTCGGCTGCGTCGTTTTGCTGTGTGCCCCCCGTGGTCATCGACGGCCATGCCGAGTGGAACCTTCCCGCACATCGGTCTCGCCCTTTGCAGAGGATAACATTCACCGTCAAGCAGCGGGCATGCGGCCTCTGTGGCGTTTGGGTTGCCATGAGAATGGGAGGCTGTTTAGGGTAAAATTGGGGGTCAGAGCAAAGTGCAAGCGTGGTCCTGCTATCAGTTTTAAATGTTCAGCACGTTTATGCGTCTCCATTTTACTGTCGTTGTGGAGACCCATGGTGGTCGTAAATAAATGTACAAAATATTCCAACATGTACCTTTCCTTGAGGGCTAGATGATACGCCGTTTGTTGTTTTTTTTTTTACGACAATGTAAGTTTTGTTTTATTATTTAGGAATGTCAAGTTTCAACTGCCTGGTAATTCAATGAATTGTCATTTGTAGTATTGTGTACACCGTTGGCATAAATGTATATTATTTGTATATAATGTTCACAAATCATAAGGCATGGATTTGTACATGAACAATTCAATGCATTTATGGTGAGTGCAGGAATAGGTTTTCATCGTTCCGTCTTTACATGCTTTCTACTTAGTCTTATGTCACGAAGCGGATGTTACAGAACTATTTTTGAGATCATGTCAAGTAACCTCTACATGCTACATGAACAGTCAAACTGATTTTTCTTTTCGAATTTAGCAGAATTAAGTGCAAAATAATTTTAACATGATGGCTGCTATTGGGTAGCTATAGCTACTCTTAGGTTACTATTCAAATGCCAATTTAAAAACTGGTCATCAGAAAACAATAGAATATATTCTCATCAAGGCCCTGTTGTTTAAAGTGCAGTAACAAACTCTTTTTTCCCTCTCTCTAGCCTCTTTATGCGCTATGAAGAAGTGTCATTGCCAAAAACGTCACCTATTATATAGTTTTCCTTTCAAAGGCAATGTTATTGATTAACGTGTATAGTTTTTTCGTTGTTCATGATTTTATTTTTGTAGTAATTTGTTGATATGACCTGAGACTGACCATACATTTATGTAATTTGAGAACCCAATTTAATCACAAGTGGTCCGCCTGAATTCACGCACATCCCAGATACGTATTTGACATGTGAATAACTGAAAATTGGTAATCACTGCAAGTTTATTACAGTTGATTGGGGTTCCTCTGTGGCAATGTTATTTCCTTTGCCTGGTATGGAGGAGGTCGTGGATTCAATCCTGGACCCTGATGATTCCTGTATATTTGGAATTTGCGTGTTCTCTCTTCCCATGGTCGTCGGGATTTTTCTCCGGGTCTTCCGGTTTCGCCCTCCACATTTATAAACAGCTGTTTAGATTATGTGGCTGCTACTATAAATCCCCACAGAGGGATAGAAGCCACTTTGGTAAACTATCATGTGTGGCGAGGTCACCTCTGAAAAATAGCTAATAGTTCAGTACCTGGTGAATGAAATAGTTTAGTTTAGATACATGAGGCCTACATTTTAAGAAATTGTAAACGTGTACGTATATTGGTGTTTAAGATTCACTTTTCTGAAAAGCCTGAGAAATATTCACCTGCTCATTGCATTAGATGTTATTTACTTAAATATACAATACGTATACAATACTGCGAGTAGAAATGTTCCTTTTTATTCAAATACAAGAATCAATGTTCCATTCTTTGATTATCTACTGGATGTAAAGGCCTCCCCATGCCACGTTGGTCATGGGGGTTTTTTGACCATGATTCGCTGTGCTGATTTGTGCTTAATAGGTCTGGTGGTGGGAGAGGGGTACCCCAGCACCATTTCTGATGTTACTCAACACTGGATTAAATTCTGGGTTACTGGGTTTAAAGTCTCATTGCATGATCGCATATGCTACCATTCCCACCGCTCCATTATTCCAAAAACGCTCAAAGTATTAAAAATCAACAAATACAGGATGTGTCATAGTGCAATTTGTATGCGGTGTTGTGGTGGTGATTGCTGAAAATATTACAAATTCTCAAGGTTTACTGGCATGGAAAAAGCCCACAAATGTTAAATAACATGTTTTTAAGAGTAGGGGCAACGTCGTTTGTCATATTTGGAGAATGCTTAAAACATTCCGTCGGGCACTTTTTTGCAAAATATTATTCCCCTGCTCACGCGTTAAACGCCTTTTGCACCTATGGAGTGAGCGTGGATTGCAGCTGCGACTCGCATAGGTGGCCCAGACAAACACGCGATTCGGCCAAACGTGAAATTTATTCAATCGCCTTCTTGCTTAAGTTGGCAGCACGTGTGTGTGCGCAGCAGGCTACCATGTCTTACCTCATAGGGTACAGCAAGCTAAAGGGTTTCTCTCGATACCCTGTTTGAGTGTAGGTGATGTTGAATATTTTAAAGAAAACAAATCGCCAAGTATAAAATATTCATGGTCCTTTCATTCAACACCATCTGTGCTTTGTAACTGTTGTACAGAGGAGAGACCCCAACAGTTCAGAGATTCGTCGCTACACAGGGGGTTGTGAGTCCATTTCAAAATAGATTCAGTTTTGTTAACTTATTGTGGTGAAAGTAGCAGCCTTGTAGGGGTCAGATAAACCCATTGCATACAATATACACGGACCCATAAACCATTTGTACACGCTCAATTTGATGCCTGTAATCGATGAATTGATGCTTCGTTACACCCCCAACCTTGTACACAACCAGAACACGATATAATTTGTAGAGCAACCATGTCCAGTTTGCGAGGTTGTCAGTTCAGATCCTGGTGAGTGTCACCTCACTCAATCATCCCTCCAAAGTTGGTAAAACGAGCACTGCGTGGTGAAGCTGCACCCATTGGGTGGAAGGTGGCAGAGCAGTTGTCCCTTGGACATACTCATCCCTCCCGTAGAAATGTTTAAAGTCGACCTTTGACTCAAGATTGAGAGCAGAAATAAGTACCAGCCATAGCTCATTGGAACATTGGGACACCATGACGAGCAATACCCCATATGACGAAGGTGGTGTACAAGACAAAGATTTAACACATAGGTTTTCGCGACCAATATTATTCATAATATAGGTTTTTGGTTCAGATCGCGTTATTTATAAATGTGTCGTAACCCTCCACCACCCGACACGGCCAAACAGTAAAAAAAAATCCTTTGATAAACGTGACACATATTTTACTGTTTGGCCGTGTCGGGTGGTGGAGGGTTACGACACATTTATAAGTAACGCTATCTGACCCAAATACCTATATTATGAAGACAAAGATTGTTCATGTCATTAGCACATGCATGAGCTTTGCCGTTTTTGCTGTCTTAATTTGTTTTAACACCGTCTCATTTTGTCGTCGTCACTGAAAAAAATGGCAGAGTGATAAGAATCGAGGCTTTTGTGGGAACGAGTTGGATTGCATCTGCAAACGACCAGAGGTTGTGTGCACAGGATGTTCTTTGTCTGATGGTTCACACGCCAGATGGTTATCGCAATCATGGAGGACCCGTATTGTATTTCGGTGGTTCCCGCGATTATCACCTCCTTGCCGATGCTGATAATACTGTGTAGGTCATCGAAAACCTCGGACCCTTTTCATTTTGGTAAACATTTACCGCTGGGCGGTGGTGGCGCATGCCTTAAATCCGGCACCGTGCAGGGGAGGGTTAGCGGATCGCCCAAGGTGCCATACCCTGGCTCGCCAGGAGAAGGCAGTACAGCAAGTGGGCTAATTGCCATTTGTTTCAATCTGTGAGAGTTGCCCCTTTGCTTGCTTACATCTTCTCCCGGTGCTCCGGTTTCCTCCCACACATATAAACACTCATCATTCATTGACTGAAAAATATTAACATAAAATAAAGCATGGCTTTCCTCGATAGATAAATAAGTAAATAATGGTCATAGTTGGTGTGTTATCATCATCAGTGTCGGTTTGTACTTCCATATATAATTTTACACCATCATGTAAAGGTTTATTAAGTAGAGATAGAATTCGCTCAACTGAATTCGAGTTGTATCCACTTGTGTATGCATGGATTTATTTTTGGGCCACTCAAGCCCCCCCCACGCTAAAACACTCAATAGAGATATTAGAAAACCTGTGTGGAAGGCTTGAGGCTCAATGAAGCTTTCCTGGATGACCATGAGTCAACTTGTTTCCTTGTTGAAGTGACCATGGAGTATTGCTCAATCTATGTAGATGTTTACAAATACGACTCTCTTTACGTGCAGAGATGTGTTCATAATCAACGTTTTTGGGTTTAGATCGCGTTATTTATAAATGTGTCGTAACCCTCCACCACCTGACACGGCCAATCAGTAAAAAAGTGTCACGTTGACAAAAGACAAATAGTTCACTGCTTTAGACCACCGGTGTGTTGAAGCGTGAAACCACAACATTTACAATTTGAGTACGACGTTTCGCTAGTAATTGCATCCAGCATCATCGGGCAATGAACTATTTGTCTGTGAACTATTTGTCTTTTGTCAACGTGACACTTTTTTACTGATTGGCCGTGTCGGGTGGTGGAGGGTTACGACACATTTATAAATAACGCGATCTAAACCCAAAAACGTTGATTATGAATAATATTGGTCGCGAAAGCCTACGTGTTAAACAGAGATGTGTTCTCAATCTCGCGTACATTCTCTTCTAAATGACATGAAAGCATTGTGCTATTTTTATATCAATTTAGAGTTCGTTTTTGTGGGGTTTTTTGCGTGTATGGCGTGACCGTCGTTTTTTGTAGATATTCACGTATCCAATCTTTTCACATATCCGCCAAAAGCCGAGTCCCCCAGTGGGTCGCATATGCGATGTTGTTCTGTGTACTCAGCCCATCAACCCTATAGGATTGATGGGCTGAGTCGACCCGTGATCATGATGTGAATTCGAAACCTTTCGAAATTGTTGGCCGTGCTTTCTACCCACAGCATTAGGTGGACAGACAAGTAAAGGGGCAACGGTTATCGGTAATTTTACGGGTAATTTCACCGCAATGCAAGCGGTGCATTGTCTGAGTGGGTGCTGTCTGCGTGTGACCCTCTCCCTGGCACACCGGCAGACAGAAGGCGGCACGGGTGATCACGTTCGAAGAGTTCAAGGAGGCGCTTCAGCAACTCTCGTGTAAACGCTTCAAGGACAAGGATGAGCAGGAGGCCCTAGAGGAGACGTACAAGCTCATCGCTGGGAAGTCCCCCATCATCCATGGGGTCACGGTACGGCAGCGCACCTGGAGTCAGAAAGACCAGAGGACTCTCCTTGCAGTCCCGTCTAACGCCTGTTGGGGGATAGTGCTTTTAACCCTTTCCTGTTCCGATGACGGACGTGTACGTCATTAGTTTTTCTTCCAATTCAGTTCCGATGACGTTCCGTGCGACATGGTACGTGTACGCCATAGGAAGTAAACTGGAAGAAAAACGAAAATAAAATCACCTTTATCGGTACCGAGGTTCCCACAAGGCCACGCGGGAGAGCGTGTGGCACAGTTTGGCGCCAGCTGTCATAGAGTGCGGTGGTCGTGTCGCTACTGTTCTCTGAAGTGCACTGTCTTTAAAATCAGCGACACTACGCCTGCATACATAAAATTAACGCTGAGTTGCTTGCGTGCTCCAAAATTCAGAGGTGAATGGGACCCAACCATGCAACTTGCAGACATCTCAGAACGGGAAAGGGTTAAGTGAGCACCTGTTAAGGTTGGAATGGTACAATCCTGTCTTGAATGCTCTCTCATCTTGGATTGATTCTAACTTCCTCCAGCTAGATGTTGTCAAAACGGAAGAACTTCTAATCGACCAAAAGTCCCACCACCCTCGGTAAAGACCTTGGTTTGTGTGTCAACCTCTTAAGCACTGACATTACACTGGCAAAGAGTGTGGGAACCTTGGAGTTGCAGTTGATCCCAAGCTCTCATTTGCTTCCCACATATCTCAGCTCCGTCTGTGCAACATCTTCCCTTATCTGCTGTTTTCTTACTATTCTCGACGGCCTCCCCAAACCCCTCATCTCCGCAACTCTAGATGATCCAAAATGTTGCTGCTTCTATACTTCTCATCCACACTTGTAAACAAGACCGCATCAAATTTAGATTTAAAGCTTTCGTGACTGTAGGGATTTATATTATTGGTTCTTTCGGTAAAGTTACATAGAAGGGAAACAATAACATAATAAAAATATGAAACAATACAATTCTCACGACGTTTCGACTGCAACACAAGCAATCATCATCCTAATATTCCAATCCCCCCCAACTCATTCCAATTCCCAGTCTAATGCCAGGTTAATTTCAAGATCCCACTCGCCATCTTCAGAATCCACCTTTTCATCTCACATTACTGCCCCCTTCCAACACACCCTCTACTCCAGCAAACAAGGATTTCTGTCGAAGTCAACCTTCGCCCAGTTTGAGGTCGCCCTTTCTCCTCGACCATCCCCGTCGTCTGGAGCTCCCTTAACCCAGCCATCTATGATGTCGACTTCCTGCGCAATACAAATTTTTGCCGCAAGTGGACTTATTTCAATGTTTCTATCTGCACGGAGCATAGAGCATTTCCCTGTCACACACGTGGGTTTTCTCCGGATGGTCCGGTTACCTCCCACCTGTACAATAAATACTCGTTTGGCTGAACGAATTTTGAAAAAAATAAACCCAATTACAAGACCCTCCTGAAAAAGAGTCATATGACTCAGTGTGGCTATCCTGGATAAACAAGTCATTTTCTTTCATCCAGGCTCAAGACTTTTATTTTTTCTTCACAAATGAATGCCTCTATATCTATGTGAATATTTGAATACCCCCCCCCCCCCACTAATTTCTGCAGAGTCATGAGGTCCAGTTGCATTTAGAAACTATATAAACCCAATCATTAGACCTCCTTTGCCAGTACCAAAATATAATAATAGGCTTTTTCCCCTTTTTTCTGGCAACACAATTGAAACCTTCTTACGAGAATTCATGTGTGCATTAACCACAATACTTTCAGTCAAAATGCTAACAAAAAACACTGATAATATATGCATTGTCCTTGAAACTGATTGGTCCACACCAGAGACGGCTTTCTTTTGAGCGTCGTCTCAATTGGTGCTCGACCAGAGGACGCCAAAAGGTGTACAGCTCAAAGACAATGCACTGTCAAAGTAATGAGGGCTCGGGTGAGCATCTACATCATTAGACCTCTTTTGCCAGTACCAAAATATAATAATAGGGTTTTTCCCATTTTTTCTGGCAACAAAACTGAAACCTTTTTACAAGGAATCATGTCTGCACTAACCACAGTACTTGTGGTCAAAATGCAAACAAAAAACAATCAGTTTCAAGGACAATGCATATATTATCAGTGTGTTTTTTGTTTGCATTTTGACCAAAAGTATTGTGGTTAATGCAGACATGATTCCTTGTAAAAGGTTTCAGTTTGGTGTTTTAACATCTTAACACCTGTTTTGTTGCCAGAAAAAAAGGGGAAAACCTTTTATCTTAAAGTGCTATGTTTCACATAGTCGGCAGTAGTTTCAGAGTAAGGGGCTTTGCAAAATCAAAATTGTAGGTAAAACAATTCTAATTTGGACCATAACGCCGACAACACAAGTGTACGCACATGATTCCTTGTAAAAAGGTTTCAGTTTTGTTGCAAGAAAGAAGGGGAAAACCCCTATTTTTATATAAACCCAAGTTGCATTTTATTGTACGAGTCAACCTTGGGAGCGGCTCTGCACAGGTTCACAGAACTCTTGATCGTAGCCATGGTCAGGGAGGCGAACTCAGGGCACATGCTTCGTAGTGAAGTGGACTAACCACTGTGCCAACACTCCACATTTATATTATATATAAAAAAGACAAAGATCCCCCGTATAGCCTTAACAGACTGTTGAGACAAGTGTTGTTAGTGAGCACCTATGAAGGTTGGCACAGCACACGAGGGGGTGGGTGGCCAACACCATGCCTTTGTATACCTAGTGGTGATATTTACATATTGCACAAGGTACTCATTTGAGGCCGAGTCGACCTAGGGGAGGAGACCCATGTCTGGTTCAGATAATCATTTACTAGCATTGGCCATGAGCAGGAATCGAACTCAGATCGCCGGCTTCGTTGAACAGCGCGCTCACCATTGCACTACCGCTCCCATACATATATTTGTGTTGGTACGCACACACATAAACACACACACATAAAAACACACACACAAATAAAAGCATTGGCCAAACATGAAGGAGAATAATGCAGCTCGGCTTTTGATGTTTTGAAAGATGAAGAGATATGGCAATATGACAGTCTCAGCCAGTAAAAAAATGCACCAGAGTCGAGCCAGAAAAGTGCAATTTGAAACACGCTAATTTATCTTGTGGTTCCTAGGCAGAAAAATGAGTTGACTAACTTTGGTTTTCAGACGCGTGTAATTTCATCAGTTATTGGTGCATTTAATTGTAGCTAAATTTTTTCAGCATTGCGGCATCAAATGTGTACTTTAATTTGCTTTTTTGCAATGAGTGCCCCTGGCAGGCCTGGGTTTCTGGGTTCCGCAGCATGAGGACTATAGGATTAACAAGGCTGTGGTCGGAGATGTTACAGTGGGGCTTGGCAGGCCGTGTCGTATTTCCTTTCTTTTTTTTTAAGTCCCGTGTGCTTGTAAATGCAATACCGCGCATCTTAATTTAAGCATCGCGTCTTAAAAACCGTTTTGGCACGAAGGAGGGGGGGGGGGCTGTTTGCTGATTGCATGAAAGCTGGTTGCTGGAAGGCTCAGTCACATTATCATCCATGGCACAGCGTGGCAGGGGCGATGGTGATGACACCCCATCCCCCTGTGCTGGTTACAAAGCCTCGCGGTCGTGTTGCTTACGTTGCCCCCTTTCTGCTGCTTGGTCTCGGGCCTCGTTGCGAGCACCGCTCGGGCGTGCAGTCTCAATCTGCTTAATATAAAACAGCAAATACAAGTCTGTCTCGCCGGCCTTGTTTTGCCCAAAACGTCTTGGAAACGCGCACAACTCTGCGCTCAGTTGCCCCGGGTTACTCGAAGCACATGGCCTCATCCAGCGACGCTCACACCGACCACACGCTAAGAAAGCCTTTACCCTTCACCCGCGAGTGACCGCAAAAGCCGGCTCCACCGAGACGTTCACTTGGCGCTGGGTAAAGTGCGGGCACGGGGGGGGGGGGGGCACGTGACGAGACTAAGCTGCTATGGGTTTGCTCTTCGGCCGTGCGCCCTGCTTGTATTGGGCGTAACGAGGGTGGATGGGAGCTCGCTCTCGCCTGGGTATGGTTAAGAGCTGGCGTACTGGCGACCATGCTGTCTATATAACCCCCGGTTTCCCAACATCTGCGAGTCCTCTACTCCCCACTTACCCTCCTGCCCCCTCCGTTCGTCCGACCGTCTGTCCGCTCTAGAACACACGTGCTTTTGTTCTTACGCGAACGACGGTGAGCAGAGTGAGACAGGGTGTTGGTTCTTAGAGGAGCGCCGGTGGGCCCCCCATTCGAGTGGCAGAAAGTAACTTGAGAGTACCCTAATGTTGGTGAGCACACCCACCATTCTCCCTCTTTTGCACACGCGTTTGCAAAGTCTCCGCGAGGATGAATGAGGCTCTTCTTTGTGTGCGTTGGATCATCCGCAAGTAAAAGGTGCTGCATAATCCAGCGCAATCCTTTGCAGAATTTCTCTCGGGTTATCCCTGCGTGATAGACGCGATGTGAATTTCGTGAGAAACATATCATCCGTTCATTCTGCTCGTGCATTAGCTGAGGATTCTCTGGCTTGTCCTACTTATTTTCCCTTTGATCTTCCTCTTTTGTAAGGGCGTTTGAAATAAAAATGTACTGTGGAAAATCAGCCCACGCAGATAATGAGACCCATCTTGTTTATTTTTTTGTTGTACCAGAAACGATGTGGTTGCTAATTCAGTGTGCGTGTGTCAGAGGCAACATGCCCTAACACAGTCTTAATGGTTTATTTCTGAAACTGTTGCTGGGCTACAACGGTGATCGTGGGAGAGACACTCCAGACATTAAGGCTCGTGCATTTGTCGTGCCATCAGGTCGGATAATTATTTTTTTTCTCACAAAGAAAGAGGAAAAGGCATCGTGTTTCCATTTAATTTTCACGTTAAACGTTTTCTGGATTTGGCATTGGTGGGCAGTCATAAATGTTATATTTGAAGTCCTCCGATATACATTTTTTAAAAATTTATAGTCATAATAATCAACAACTGTTGTCATGTGGAGAAACTGGTTTCTGTCATAGGAATGTGATATTTTCACTTTTGACGAGGGACCAACAGAGGTGAGCAACTCCCAACACTTTTGTGTAGCACTTGGTTCGTTTAAATTGATTGATGTACTGATGCATACTATGATGCTATTACTGCAGTAAATGTAGCGTTTATTTATAACGAGGTGAGAGCTCACTGCGAGATTACAAGTCACCTTATCAAGTGAGACTTTGGGTAGAAAAGTATATATTTAGTAGCAGACGCAACAAAGTACAATGATTGTAAAGGATATGAAATTCCCAAAAATAAACCCTTAAATTATCCAATATCAATTAAACATTGCAATAAAAACATCAACAGGACTTTATAATGGAAGTAGGAAACAAGCTATGTGATTTAGAAGGCAATGATAAACTGCATTTATATTCAGATTGCCCAAGTTTATTTGCCGGAATTTTATAAATATGAGGCCTATGAATAAACCTTCACATTAGGCCTGGCCTTATCTTTTTTCTCATGCCACGCTTTGCAAACTTTGTGGGCTGCGACGACTCCTCATCGAAACCGATACGGACAGAATGAGTGCCCTGGCCTAACTGTTAACAATTTATTCCGCGCATTAACAGTGCAGTCAGTTTGGCCAGGAGAGGGGGTAGATCTTGTTGGCGTTTTACGTTGAACTAAATATCACGGCGTGATAAAGCGCGTCGGGGTAAAGGCTGCAACGCTCCCGAGCGAGTACCCTCCCCACCGTGGCATTTCACGGTGATGTGTGTGATTGCCATTTCACGTCTGTTTATGGGCAATAAATGTTTCATAGGGAAACCAAAACGCTGTAAAGCTGACGGCGAAATTGTGATCTCAGTGGTGTCGGTTGCCTGGCGACAGGCTGTTGCAGTCCTCATAAAATGTGTTTTGTTAAAGGTTATCTTGCTTTGAAAGGCAGAGCGGAATGATGACAGAGCCAAGTTACAAGGATTGCCAGCTTAATAATTTATCTTTATTTTTCGGAGTTTGACGCTCGCCACAATTTTAATAAGATTTTCAGGTTTTATTTATTATCTGCTTTCAAAGGAATAATAAGCAAAGCGGAAATTATGGAGTCTCAGGATGATATTTTCAGGACTGTCTAAAGTTGATAGTTTGTCAATTTTGTGTTGGTAACTAGTTACTTGTCAGAATCAGAATAATTATTTACACTGGAGCAATCTGATGGGCTATTAAGCTCTTTTTCACGGATGTCCAGTAGGGGTGGGTAAAACTCACACATTTAAGCAGACAGCATTCGGAACTTCAGTTCGAACAGACACCTACTTGCAGGTTCTGCCTTTTTAACACATTCCTGCGGAGGGAGCTGGTAGGAACGTTGGGTTGCTCGGTAAATGGCCAGGGTCAACGGTGGCGTGGTGTATTCCGTAAATATGCCCGACGGGCAGGCACAAGCCGGCGTGAGTAGGTTAAACGTTGAGTTTTATAAGGGCACCACGGGGTGACCAGCCCCTCCCCACCCAGCCCCACCCCTCCCACCCTCCCCACCCAGCCCCTCCCCACCCTCCCCACCCACGCCCTCCCCACCCAGCCCCTCCCTGCACGACGGACACAATAATCCCCTGTGGGCTGGTGTAACCAGGAGGTTCCTACCAGTAATAGCTCTTGTGTCCGTGTAGCTGGGTATCAGTTGCACACGATTCTTACGTGCGCCACCAACCCTCCCTCGCTCCCTACCAAACTGCTGGTGTACAGGGTGTGTGGCGCCATGCCCAGCCTACGAAAAAAGTTAAACATTTCCGTAAAGAGGTCTTGTTTTAAGAGCAATATTCAATCACAATTGCATTCGACAAAGGGTAGAAAGTATTTCAGCATGAAAAACAATGTTGTAAGATACTTTGGGGGAAATGTGTACTGTTATTAAAGTATCCCGCCAGATGGTCACTGTACGCGAGGACCTTGGCAGGGTTGGGTGCCGACTTTGCAGCAGCAACGACGACGAGGGCTGGCATGAGGAAAGAGGCGAACGAGAAGTGTGGTGGCCTCAAAGGCGAAATGCCGTCATGACCTCTTGATATCAAGTTTCAAGTTCATTTATTAGGTATAGCCCTGTGAGCCATTCGGCTCTTGAATCGGGTGCAACCGCAACAAACAGAAAACAAAAACATGAACAAGAAAACATCTTAAAGTGACTATGTGCAAACAGAAAATCCAAGAAAAGACAGCAAAATATTGCAGAAAAAGCACCGTACACCAACACTGTGTGCAAAAATCCCAGTAGGATGCAAGTCAAACAACCACAACCACAAGACAACTTGGATTAAGGCCATCAGTCTAACTCTGTACTACAACAAACAAACATGGCCAATATGAACCCTGGATTGCACTATAATAAAATCGCGACATCTCCAGCTATCAATAATACTTTAACGAGAGGACATTTCCTTAAGACACACACACACGTGCGCTTTGGGGACGTCCTTTAACAGAGTGTGCCGTTTACAAGGGCGTTTGCTAAATCTGTGAGCAATTACGCAGTCAAGTGGCCGGTAACCATTTTACACGGCCCCTGTTATGTCTACGGGGAGTTTGTTGGATCATGGGGTCTGTGGCTGGTGTCACAATGTTCCACACAGTCTTTGCGCTATAGACTTCTTCTAATTAAATGCATCGCTACCAAATAGGTGCTTGACTTTTCCATACTCAACAAATTACATAATGCCTTGAATATGCTCAAAGTACAAAGGGGGTTGATGCACCATGAAAGAAATTGGCATTCCTCCCCCGCCCCTACTCCCAGTCCAAAGGTCATCTCTGGACTGTTTTCTTTTTTTGAAACACTGAATATGCCATGTGCACACAATCAGTGTAAAATGTCTTGCCAAGGAACACGGCCAGCTCCAGTCCCGATTAAACTTCACAGCTAATGTGCTGTCACATTAATCGCCTCCGCAGCATAATTTTAATTCATACGTCCACAGTTACAAAAGGAGGAAGGAACGATCGATGCTTGGGAATCTACGACGACAGGAGGGCCGTCTGACTATTTAAAGTGCCTGCGTTTTGCTGCCGATTTTGAGCGAATATGAAATGAGGACCATGGCTTAGCGTAACATCCGTTGTGGATTTCCCTTGCTGGTAATACCAGGGCAGGGTATTCATTATACCGGCGGTGGTCAATGAGGAACCACAGTTAGACAGAGCACATGCCGTGACTAGAACTGCTGGGTGGAACTGAGTGCATGTGTCAAACTCCCTTCATGAAAAGCGATTGGCGCGATTGGCAAATGGGGCCCGCACCTGCCCACGCATTGTGGAGGAGCGCAGGATTTGCTCGTGCCCACGTCCCCGCTTGGCCCCTCGCTTCACAGTCCCGAGCCGCCCCCCCCACCTCTGTGCCCGCAACCTCCACGATTTATGGGCTTGGGGAATTAAGTGGGCCAACGTCGTCGCAAGTGTGTGATGCATTATTGAAAAGGAAATTGGGCAACAGGAGTAAGTTGCAGCGGTTAATGAACGGAAGTAAATTAGTTTTGTTCAAACAATATTGCCGTTTCATCCGACTCTGAGCATATGCACGAACCTGAGTTGACAGACGGAGGTGATGATGGGGTTAACTGCATGTTGTTTTTTCGAAGGTTAATATTTCACAGGAGAACATTCAAGTTGCGTTTGCACGACTGCACAATGGTGTTTTGCTGACAATTGTGTTGAATACAAGTTACTTGGGTGCACACCCGTATGAATTATAATGATGGAGTACATCGTTTATGTAGGAGTTGCATTGGGTTATGCCTTACCTTTAGTCCTGGCTTCATGTATTCGTGTCCGTGCACTCTTTTTGCCTGGTCATTTTGTGGTTCTGTGTGTCTGGATATATGTATATAGTGTTCTGTCTGGTCTATGGTTCTGTGTTTAAGTATACAGTATTCCGATAGTATTTATATTGTATATAGATGATTGTGTTAAAAAATCTTGTCTTCTGCCTGATATATTAGCTTCTCTGTATTTACATGCACGCCGTTGTTATAGCGCGACTATATGCGCAGGAAGCCTTTATATAAAATATTAGAAGACATGGGCTTTGAGATTAATGCGGTTGTCTTTTTGTACAACACCCCAAGTGCTATTCCTGGCATTCCTTTCAGCGCTGAGGGTTTTGGCCCAGGTTTCCTGATTTTGTGGCCGAAAAAGGTCATCTTTCCACCACATTTTCGAGATGTAACCAGGCAACGGTAAAAAAAAATCTTTCTTCAAATACTCCCGAAGTCACATTTTACACATGTAAAATGAGCGTGCTTTTGAAATTTATTGAACTCCATTCCCAAGACGTACATTGCATAATCCAGGCCCCGTCTGGTCTGTTTCATGTATGCGCCATGTTTTTTATGCCGTGCTGTATCGCAGAGCCGATCAATTAAAGCAGCCACATTCCCAGCCGAACTGATGTGAATGCCCAGAGAAAACCCACACATTTGAGGTTAACAGTCAAAAACCCACAGATAGGTCAACCCACTGGATGTTCTATGTTTTATCCTAACAACTGCATCCTCATAAGTCTCCCATAAACCTCTAAAACACCACAATCGAGACTTGCACACCACTATTGAATAAGTCCTAACTCTGCTTGTCTGTTGTGTTGTACACCACCCACGTATCCGTCAATTTGTTGACCCATCCTGTCCGCCGGCCTGCCACCTGGATCGGCGATACCGCAGAAGGCGACGAACAAGGGCGGCGTTGGCCGGCTGACGGATCCCTCCAAGTACACGGGAACGCACAAGATGCGGTTCGACGAGACCGGCAAGGGGAAGGGCAAGGCGGGCCGGGAAGATATCCCCGACACGCGAGGATACGTGCACAGCTACAGGGACGCGGGCACGTACGACCAGAAAGTGAAAGGTGCCGTCGCGTCTCCCAATGCCAAGAAGACCTAACGGCACGGGTGCTACCTGGCCCACGGTCACCATATTTTCCCTGCCTCACTTTCCACTAGGTCACTCGTCCAAATAAATAGCTTTTAAAAGTATGGGGTTTTTTTCACGAAAAGAGGCATTTACGGATTTGTACACGTGTGGAATTTAGCAGGGAAAATAGTGTACCCTCTGTATTTGAGTCTTTTTTTTCCCGAACTGCTTTCCCAAGCAGACGTTTCTACTGCTAGTTAACTTCCTCTGCCACGTCGATGCATATAAATATAAAGCCTAACATTACATTGCCAATATATGTAACTGCTGCCATCCTATGCCTTATCAGTTAAAAGGTTAAATATGCACAGAGCGCTGGAAGGAATTGTGACCAAAGTGACACAGATATTCATTTTGTCTCTCCCCCTGGCTTCATGGTGGTGCTTGCTAATAATGAAAAAGGTACAGTACAAAGATTACCCTGCCCTCCCCCCATCAGGGACGAGTGTGCCAGCCGAGGTTTTTGGTTTCTGGTTGTAGGGAGATACCTTACACCATTCCCCTAACACATGCACGTATATGTGTGCACGCGTGTACAGCTGTAGTGAAACCACTTCCCCCCCCCCCCCACATATAAAAGTCCCCGTCGCACAAAGAAAGTATTTGAATGACAAGCAAAGGTTCTTGTGCCCATGACTGTAGCAGATGCACACCTTGGGTGTGGAAATGGATGAGTGATTAGTCTATGTCAAAATGTCAGAGCTCGTGCACTCCAAATGACATCACGCTAAGCCGATGACATCACCCCGAGAGATTTTATAACTTTTGAAAATAACACGTCCACGTACAAAACGAGATGATAGCACAGGTTGAAGCCAGGTAATAATGGTAATTTAATTGAATGCCCATCGGTCTCGAGTGGCAAATGTCAAACTGAAGACGTCAAACGAGGCACCATTGTTTAGTATTTGTTTATTTGTCCAAGGGAGCCTCATTGAGTCTTAAGACTTTCGCAAAGGGGGTTTTAATGGGCACCTGTCACAACGCCTGTGTGTTTGCTGAGATTCGGACATTCACAGGCAAGACCGCAGCTCATAACTTGCCCGCTTGACATCTAAGCCCACTTTGTAAGGCTTTAATGTCTACCTTTTTGAGGATTTAAATTTGTATTGAACATATGCTGTGCAGTATATTGTTTTACATTACATTATACTGTAGTTAAGTTATATACAGCGTGGGGTTCAGTTTACATGCTTGTATACGCACTATGTGCAAGGGACACACACTGCCATTTGTCCTTTCATCAACTCCCACAATCGAATTAAATGCAAAATGTGTGAGCGGAGTGGTGGTGAGGAGAGACTCAACTGAGACTGAAGTGTCATTACATGTACGTCAGGCTTGGCCTGTGCACACCTGATGCCCCTTTATATGAGGAAATGGCCCAGCTTTTTATAATTTGATTTCTTCCACCTGCTCGGTGAAGTCTGGGAAGCCAGGCCGCGGCCGGTTTAGCAAGTAGAAACGAAGTTCAAGTTCGTAGGTGCAGTGCTTGTATCGGTACAACCTGTTTACTCACAGGAGATCCTGCCTTGCTTTCCGTTTATAACAAAGTATCACCGTGAACCTCGCTGATTTGCAGTTGGAAATGTTGACCTTTTTTTTTTTAATCAAAAGATATTTTAGTCTTGAAGAGATGGGAATGTTTAAATATATTAAGTGCTAAAGGCATTTTTTTTTAAATAAAGTGATAAATAACTAAAAAATCATGCATATTTGTTAACGGATTATTTTTAGGAAAAAAATCTCGGCTGCAGTTTTTTTTACTTTGGCCAGTGGTTGCTTTGAGGGCAAATGCAATGGCTTTTTATTTGCTTTGGATGTATGTGCAACTTTAAAATGTTGCACCCAATAAATGCAGTAACTTGGAGACTTTCACAGTGGTCTTTATAGTTCATCTGAAAAAAATTCTTACTGCCGAATGTGACACATCTGTGGCGTGTGACTACGCTTGAAATTGGAATGTAAACATATAGCTTTAAAGTGCTTTTGCACCAGCTTAAACTCGGCTCACATGTTGGAGCATGATTGATGGGCCCGATTAGCGATGATGTCACATGTTTAAGGCCGACCAGCCACCTCTCCTGCAAAGTGTCTAAATGGCAGGCACTTTTGCAATGATACCCCATTGGCTGCTGCAGACATGCAGCACATTGACTGGCGTCTGTGTGGTTGAAATCTGGCTGCTAATCGCAGAAAGCCAATTGGCTGGGCATTCATGGTGAAGCCTGTTTCGCTATCTATTATACGCAGCCTGTTGTCGACCTCTTATGTTGGAGCCTAAATATTAGTCGGCCCTTGCATGTGGCCGATTTCTTGGCACCTATGTTGCTGGTTGTTGGGAGCGTTGTGTTGTGCAGCTCAGTCGGTTGTTCTTGCATATCACTTCTTGACCACTGCAGTAGCGCTTGCAGCCAGTTTGGGGGTGGATGTTATAACTTTGATTGTTAAGATGTAAAATTTCCTTTTGTATGTAACATTATCATTAAGCTATGGACTTACCAATATCACTGTGCGAACAGTAATTTCTCCTGTGCCCAGTGATTGTACTACGCATGATTTGTCTGTATTGCATGAACTGTTATACAGATGTCTGTTGTCCAAATGTACAGTAGCAGGGCTTGAATATTAAGTTATACACAAAATATGAAACTAAATCAATAATTGGTTTGTTTTATATATATACAGTATATTATTGCACATCACTTAAAAAATGTTAGAATTTGTTGTTAGCAATAGTATGTTTACAGAAAGTAGCTCATTTTAAAAACCAGTGTTAAACTTAAAGTGTCATTTTACTTAAATCACTTAAATATTCAAGACCAAATCACTGAAAGCAATACTTACGCCTTATTAATGTTGTCTCTTAAAACCTATTTTTAACCTGGAGAGATTGCCATAAAAACATGCAGAAGAATGGACGGAGGCATAACACAATTTTACAGCTACGTATTTTAATTTGGTTTCATTGTATTTAAGTCTTGAAGCAAACTTGTGTAACAGTACAGATGCAACCAATTTTATTTTTTTTGCTTCAATAAATTACATTTTGGGGGAAAAATGTTTTACTGATGTGCATTTTATATGTAAATATTCACTGGCAATGCACACAGCTGAATGTTGAAAATTTACCTGTTTTCCAGCTGCAAGAATCAAATAAACCAAGCAACCCCTCTCGACAAACATTTATTCACTCTAATATTTCATCGACACATGACAGCTGATGATAAAACATGGCATTTAATCAGATTATAATATATACAGCAACACACTGGATATTGTTTTCACAGTAACATTTGAATATCCCACACCATAAACTTATTGTAATTGATTTTTGAAAACAAATGCCAGTTGCCTTTGAAATACGACTTATCATTCTTTTAAGATTAAAAGAGGTTTCGGGTAACAAATGTATTTTTTTGTAAACGTACGTTTTTTCTGAAAAAATAAATAAATCGACTTTAAATAAAAAAGTAATTATATAGAACACTGCCAGAACTAACATGGGGAAAACACTGCCACAGCAACTTGATTAATGTCAGCAATACTCACTGCCAAACAACTTATTTATAATACCACGCATTTATTATTTTCTATTACCAGCAACGTACGGTGGAATTCACAAGCGACCGTCAGCTGGTGCCATTTTTTTCACGTCGTTTAAATAGACAATATGGGCTGAACTCATGTGGCATTTATTCAGTTTAAACCACCCTTTTAGGGGAAGAGGAATGACTCCTTGGGGTTATTGAGGTCTGTAATGAGAAGATTTAGGGGATGCCTTGCAATGAGCTTTGGAAAATAACTAGAGCCGAGACGATGTGGTGCGTTAATGTGAAAAATTAACAACGAGAAATGGAAGTGTTGAATTTAAAACGTTTTAGTGGTTAAATATTGAACGGTGGAGCTGTGCATTTATTCAGTGCTGGGCTACATATCTGAGGCAGGCACATGTCTGTTCCTATGTGGTCGGAAAAACCCACTTCCATGAACAGCAATACAAAGTCATGCTGCTTGTATGAGAGCAGTCAAGTTGAGCAGCAATGGTAAAAGGTATTTGAGGTCACGGTAAATACATTAGAAAAGTTGGCTTGCCCAACGTCAATATAATATGAATTTTGACAGTTTGTTACCTCGTTTATAAAATTTCACTATAGATGGCAACAAGCCCATACACTGCAAGTATTTTACCCATACTTCAAGTGATCTGGATGAGATATTCTGCATTTGAAATTCGCTTAAAATGTATCAGTGGGAGTTGGCACAAATTTCACAAATATACAGTATAAATAACTCAACTGAGCTCAGTTTTGTCTTGTGAGACACACAAAAGAACATGCCTGAGAAAAGTAAATGATATGACCTTGTAAAAATAATGTGATACAATTGAAAAACAAATGAGTTATTTCGGTGTAGTTGTTCGGTGTAGTAGTTTAACTTGAGAGGTGTGCCAGTTTCCCAGCAGTAAGCTTCTCAATTCACTTACAAAAATCTGCAAAAAAATAAGCTAAGTGTTTTTTTGTCAGTGCTAAAAATAAGCCAAATCTGTTACCCCTCTTCCCCCCCCCCCCCCAACCACTGTGAAGACAGCCTTCCTCCCCCAGAGAATATGCCCTCACAACCTCCCCCCCACCCCTCCCTCAGCAGTTGAAAACCGCTGCGTTAACGGAAGCCAGTGGTTGAAGTCTCTGGAAGCAACGCGTGGCTTGGAGCAATCCAGCGGGTGGTGTTTACGCGAACCGGACTCTTGGCTCTGTGAACTCGCCGTTTCGCGGTGGCGGCGGCTGCACCATCTTCACTCCAGCGCGGGCGGGAATCGTCTGGTTCCGTGACGCTCCCGTGCATTGCCCAGCTCGCGCAGGAGGTGCTCGTTCGTCATCACCAACGACCTCGTGCGGGCACGCGCACACACACATGGGACCGCTCGCTTTACCCACAGTTGTCGAGCCTTGTGCGCGGCAGCCTTGTGCTTGCGCACGCAGCCAACATTAATGCTGATAACACTCTTAATCAGCTGGGAATAAATGCACTTGGAGGCGATGATGTTTTGTATGGAGCCATTGATATTTGTGGTGGAATTTATCGCCTGTAAACTGTAGTCTGTCAAACACCTATTCCCTTCGACCTAACTGTTTTAAAGTGGTAAAATATGAAACGTTTAGTCACTAGAACATTTTGAGTCACATAACTGATGTAAATGCCAACATTGCACATAATGCCACATGCACCAGTAACTGCGTAATTTTAAATTGTAATAGTTCATATGATTTAGTTTCAAACCAAGGTATTTTAGCTTGCATTTTTATGAAATTCATACATGCAGTTTTCAAGGCAAAACAGCAATATTTTCTCTAAATAGAACTGATGTACAACAGAAAAACAATAATCAGAGTATATATGAGGGCACCATATCTTGCCTCCTGCAAACTACAGCTCTGATACTGTGTGCTACAGATTGAGACAAGACCCACGCAATTCCATTACTCCACAATTTTTTTCATGGATTATCAGGAAAGCGTGGCACGTGACTAGCAAATTTATCTGCAATTCTCGGATTACAAAGTTATATGCTTTCCTAAGACGAAAGTGCCGCAAATCTCTCATTGGTCGATGTTCACAGATTCTTTGCATTTCTTAGACTTGACATCAAGTCAAAAAAATGCAAAACTCTTCTGCTCAAATCACATCAGCCCAGCTCGTCTGTGCCGATGCAAAACTCTGTCAACTTCTACAGATCCTGGTTTGCAGTCTGCGAAGCATTTTCAATCCACCTCGGTGTGCCGAGGATTACAGGAACAGTCACGAACCTCCAATAATCTGCAAATTACAGAAATGTACAGATTTGGAGTTCTGCTATAATACATTTGACATGCCATAAATTGTCAGCAGTGACAGTGAAGCACGTTTTTGTGCTTTCACGGCATGTCTTGATGACAAATTGGGTAATAATGCTTGCAAATGACTGACATGGAAAATGTACGCTTATACACGCTGTGAAAAGTATATGCAAATTCGTTGACATGTTTAAGAAACGTTGAAAAATGTTATTTGGCGGTTAAGTTTTCTACAAAGTGTTCCTTCACGGTTGGTTGCAGCCTACGAAAATGATATTGTGCAGGTATCCTGCAAATATATGCGGTGGAAGTTTTGTGCAATCTCACCCAACCTGCTGCCTCTAATGTGACAGTGTCAGGTGAACGTGCGTGTGTGTCAAATAGGTCCCACAAGCTCCTATGTCACACCACACGGATGGATTTTGTACAAGATACTTGCTGTCACATTTCTCTCACAGCCCTGCCTCTTGCTCACTCACCCACCAAACCCTCCTCGTGCCCCCCCCCACCCGCCCAACAGCTCTCCACACTATCCCCCTGCCCTAACGTATTAATCATGTTCACAGCATGCCCATTGAGGTGGTTTCAAAAAGTTTAGCCGTCTGACATTACACTGACAAAATGCAGAGGCATACCACCGTGGCAGGCTGCACATCACTACCGAGTACATGCTGGACATACAAAATGCAGACAGAAGACCGTGTACTTTTTGAAGTATGCAGATACATTTTTTCTGATCATTTGAGTTTCTGTACATCAATCATTGCAGCTGAATGGGCACTTGCACTTAAAAAGACTTATGTGCAAATTGTGCCCGCGCGGTTGTCAACTGTTCTTTGCCATGTGACAATATAAAGAGTTTTACATCTCTGCGTTTCTTAAGCACATCTCGGAGAGGTAGTTTGAAACTCCCTTGATGAGTGTCAGACGACTGTAAACCAGCATTTGTGGTTTGCAATAAAGTGTCGCTATTTGGAAAAAGCAGCTGGACAGCAAATTGTTAACGTTCACAAAGTTACGAGAAAAGAACAGTAAAGGCAGCCTGGGAACTGAAATCAATTACAGGGTGGATGCTCTCAGTACTGCAAATGGAAAATCGACTGATAGGATGCTGCCAGCATGTTCAAGATGGTGTCGATGGCACATGTGGGATGGGTTCTGAGACAACTTTAAGGCTTGACTGTCAGAATGCACATCGGATATCCTAACCTGAACTGCTTTTTTTTTTACTTCTAAAAGGAAATTTACAATATCAGAATTGTGATAAAAATGTGAAACACTTGAAAATAAAGAGACAGCGATGCACTGAAGTTTGTGGAAAAGACCGCTACACGCGCGCAGGAAGCCAAATAGCACGAGCCTCCGCGGCCCGCGCCAACATTTCACGCATCAGCCCTCAATCACATGGGGGCCCTATCCTCGTCTCTGCCAAGTGAAGGAGAGAAAAAAAGTCGAGCACACAGTGTAGTTGTCTCCCAGCAACCAGGTTAAAATAAGCACAGGAAAGAGAAAAACTGCACCGCGGGTTGCATATTTTTTTAACTTTTTGTAAATAAGCGTGTGTGGTTGCTGTATGCGATGTACAGTTTTGCCCCTTTGTGGGTGCGACTGGTTGTGGAGTGCTACTTTCAGCAGACGTGTGCCATGTCCAAAAACTTTGACTGGTTGTATGAGATTTTTTTTCTTCCTTTACAGTATTTTGCAATTATAGCACTCAATAAGAGCCATGCCCCGAAATGTTATTCTTCTAGATACCTAATATCAAGCAGTGTTAATTATGCAGTTATTTTGATGACGTTATTTTAAATTATACACCAAAGTTTTTAGCACCTGAAGAATTAGCAAATATTTGGTGCACTATGATGGTTTAAACTTTACCTCTGCCAAGGAGAATACAAAAGCATGGCATCTGCTGCAAATTAGTCTTTGATAACTCTGTGATGTCATTCATAAGACTGCCTGCAAAAAGCCATCAAATGTACAAACTCCCTACAATGGCCACGTTTAAAATACATTTGGACATCTGTGAAAAAGAGCTTTATATCTCATCATATTCCTCCACTATAAATACCGTATTTTCCCGCATATAGCCCACATACACATATACCCCACAAAAATAGCGTTTTGTGTAAAAAAAATTCAGATAGCCCGCACCTCCATATACCCCGCATGCATTCATATCCTTAACGTAATTACCACAGCTTAATTCCATCATTATAGATTTGAAGCTTTCGTGACTGTAAGGATTCATATTCTTAGGTTTTTTCGGTAAAGTCACGTAGGTAAAACATCAAAATTAATAAAAAATATTTTGATGTTTTACCTACGTGACTTTACCGAAAAAACCTAAGAATATAATTCCATCATATTAATACAAAGTCTACATTTGTAATACATTCCACTATCAATTGTTAACATTAAAATCATAACGTGCACAAAGAAAACAAACTAACCGGAAACAAGTAAACTTTAAAACAGTAAATAAGTAACAAAAGTAAATATCCAATAAATAAATAACATAACTGGTAGAAAAGTACCGTAAGTAAGCGTACTGTTAGGCTTACCAGCATTCGACCTCATATTACAGCTACTGGACCGGTGGTTACCCCTGTACAGTTTTAGCACTGGTAGATTGCGCGCTGCGCAGACAATAGCGGCACTACGGTAACGCCATTGCCTCCTGGCAACAAAGCCATTGGAAGTTTGAAACAAAGCTCATGGTCGCGACTGTATAGTGCTCAGCCAATAGCAGCGGCCTAAGGGACTCCGCAATTATGATTCCACGTCTGGTAGACGCTTGTTAAGGCCCTTGCCATTGTGCAATCCATAGCCTCAGCTGAAACTTTCGCACCCCCCTACAGCCACTGAAAGTTACGGTAAACAAAGTGCGCCCACTTCAAGCATTGTCGTTTCATTGTACAAAATTCTAATCATTTAAAACGTGATAACATGTGCAATTTTAGTGTGAGTGGTTTATTCAGCAGTGCTTTAGTCAAAGGTAAGTGTTGCATAGTGGATAGTCCTACCATGAAAACATTTAACGATTTATGACATGTCACACGTGTAACATTTTTGGGATAGCTCGCACTTCCATATACCCCGCAGGGTCTTGATTTGTTTGTAAAAAGTGGTAAACCCCGCGGGTTATATGTGGGAAAATATGGTAAATATGAAACATTATTAGTGTAGAAGCTGAATATTGCTGTTAACAAGATGTTCTATTCACTGGTGTTGGTTCTCACTTTGGTGTCCATGTGTCATACTATTAGCATCTCACAGCAGCAGCCACTGCCTGCAGACAGGAAAACCACTTCTGCTGGTGTCGGTGCCCCCCAGCCGCATGGACCTTGTCACTGCTATCACTCTTTTCTTTCTGCAAGCAAGCTGTAAACAGAGGGGGTTGATAGCTCCCAATAAAACATTTTATTCACTTTTTTAATTTATTTCAACTCTCCTTCAGTGGGTAAGGGATGTTTCGCTGCTGAATTTAAACAGCCCATTTCAAATGAGGGTTTGAAATAAAATTCTCACGAAAAGGTTGTAAAGGTGCTAGCGAGGATTTGCTCTCCAAGACCAGCACTCCGTGCTTCACCTGTCTCGGCACTAACCACGACTTTGACAGCTGCAAAACACATCAGAAGTTGCCAATACTTTAAATGAAGGAACGCAGATGGGAGGGACCCTCAACTGACGTAGTTGAGGCCTGTTCTGTTGCAAATTATATCGTGCACGCCTTAGCTTTGTTGTCTTCTTTCGCCCGCTAAGACGAGATCAATCGCACTCATGATTTTGACTCCCAGTAGACAACCCACGGATTTCTGATCCTCCTGTCAGGCTTACGACAAGTCAGCCACCTTCGGAAGCCACAGCAACGCACTCATATACGGGCTCAACCTCTGCTATTACACCCACCGCTCCGGCTTCCCATCATGGCCAGGAGGTTGCAGCACCTTCGTCGGGATGCGTGGAGACCAGCAAGGGTCAAGATTCTCCTCAGCCGTCACCCGATTCATCAGGTGGTCCTGCTTTTTGTGTTTTCCCCGAACCTCCGGTTAGTACATATGGTGCGAAAAAAGTTTTTCCTACCAACTATAAGCCGGGGGCATTGCTGTTGAAAAGTCAGATTCAAGAGGCCATGATTTGCAGACAAGGGGCAAGACCCACACACAGTAACCGACCATCAACACAAGACTCTTGGTCAATCTTTTTCACCAATAAGCAGCCACAGTAAGCCCCCCCCCCCCGCCATGTCTCCTTGGTTTGGTTTGGGGATGGGGGGGGGGTGAAGATCGCATCGCCCATTTCAACAACCAAACATTTTGTATCCATGAGTAGCAAACTAGTGCTGGAAATGTTTAAAGCTGACTTATGAGCTCAACTTCATCGCAGATCAAACCACCATTCAATCACCACCAAACTGCTCAAAGGATGCAGCCCTGAGTCTCTCCCTGGAGTTGGAGATTCAGTGGCTCTTGCAGCTGGCGGCTGTTTCAGCCCGGTGTAGTGTCTATGTTTATATAAACGGGACGGTGAAGGCGTGTGCATTCTACTCAAAAGTGGCACAAAGTGAATGTCGATGAGAACAGTGCCCCATTCATTAATTACTGCTGTGTGTTATTTTTGTGTTCAGTTAACATTTCTCACTTGTGACTCTCTTGCAACATTGTGACGAGCTCGTGAACCTGACTGAGTTGCTGAAGCTGGTGCCGCATATTCTTCATCTCGGTGACCAGCTTCTGGTTTTCCTGCTGGAGTTCACCTGCTAGAATACAAATGAGAATACAGCGCAAGTTCATGGCTGACGGTTTTACATTAAAAAACTACCATCACGATAACGCACCTGAGCTCAGCACAGGGACATCTTTAGTTAGTAAATGTTAAGATAAAACAGAAAAATCGTTCACATCACCCATAAAGATAAAGGCTAACTTGATGGGCTTATATGGTTTCAACTTATTATGTAAGGTAATTTGTAAATCCAAAACACAAACACTGAATAAAAAATGCTTGAGCTTTATGTTGAGTGAACTAGGCAAGACACATTTACTGGAACTTCACGAGGTGCGACGTAAAGGAGAAAAAAAAAATCGGATTTACCCTTTCCGGTAAGAATACTGGTGATGTTAAAGATGTTCAAGCACCAAATAGACACGTTTTGCAAGCTATAAGTCTGCATTAACCACACATAGTTGTAGTAAAACATGATTTGATAATGTATATATTGTCCTTGAAACTGCTTGGTCGACGCCATAAACAGCCTCCTTTATGGCCTTGTCTCACCAGTGTTAGATCAAAGAATGGCAAAAGGCAAACAAACAGCACAAAGATGATGCAAATATCAAAGCATTAATTTCTCGGTTTGAGAAGTTTTGTTTCGTTTATTTTTCTCATCATCTTGTTACTGGCAAAAAAGGGTTCACGTAGAGACTTAAGTTCTTCATAATATAGGTTTTTGGGTCAGATTGCGTTATTTATAAACGTGTCGTAACCCTCCACCACCCGACACGGCCAAATAGTAAAAAATGTGTCACGTTTTTCAAAGGACAAAATAATTCTCTCTTCAGCACACCGGTGGGCTAAAGAAGTGAATTATTTTGTCCTTTGAAAAACGTGACACATTTTTTACTGTTTGGCCGTGTCGGGTGGTGGAGGGTTACGACACATTTATAAATAACGCGATCTGACCCAAAAACCTTCATTATGAATAATATTGGTCGCGAAAGCCTGCTACGTGTTAAATTGACTTAAGTTCTTCTTTGCAGGCCGCATCTCAATGGATGAGCACTGCATCCGTGATAATTGCAACAGCACTACCACTACCTAGAGCACCGTGAGGGCACGGGGGTCAAGGGGTGTGCGTGCGACCACGTGTGGTGGCCAGTGACCCCGCCGTGTACCCGCGCGCTGCGTCGTGTCCGCATGGCCGCTTCCGCTTCGTGCCGCCGCCTCTCGCTGCAGCCGGGTAGCTTTCTCCCGCAGCAGGTGGCTCTCCTCTGTGAGCTGCGTCAGCTTCGACCGCGTCTCCGCCTTGATGCAATCAACAACAGTGGTGGTAAGATTAGAGGTGAGCTCCTGCCCTCCCTCGCCTTCCCCCCTCCTCACCCTCATTCTTCCCCCCTGCTCCCTCTCCTCCCTCACCCTTCCAAAGTACCCCACTCACAGTCCCAACTCGGTGGAACAGCGAGCCCAAGCTCCCCCCTTCTCTCAACTCAGGACCACAGCGTTTGGGACTTAGGTGCGCGGAGTTTCTGTCCCCCCACCCCCATGTCCCGGGCTCCCACTGAAATATAATAACATTACAAAATAAAGGATTAGAGGTGAGCGAGTGGGTCATTCTGCTCATCAAGAGCACCAAGCCGGAGATTCCGAGTTCAAATCCAGGTGTCCCCGTTGGCCATTATTAAACCACGTTCTCAAGTGTACCCAACTGAAGATCTCATCCAGGTCAGCAATGGGTGTGTAAGCATCCACCATGTCACATTTGGTTTTTCACTTAATTGGGATTATTCCACTGCTCACATGACTGATAATTAACACTTAAAAAGAAGGGCCAACTGAAGTGACTGCACACGTAATTGTGACATAATTTCCCACGGTACTTCTGACTGGTGGCTGCAAGATTTCCAAATGAAATGTTCGTTACAAGATTCCAAAACCACACTCATAATGAAATTGGAAAAAAATGAATGCAAAGATGTGGGGCATAATCCTAAGATATATTTTTTCTAATGAAGGATCATCTGTCATTAAACATTTAAACACATGACAGAATAGCTCACTGCAGCACTGATTTAACTCGAGTTCTAAAAGTGAATTTTCAATTCCAAAAGTAGATGTTAGTGATTCCATTTGAGCATATATTGATGACTGAAATTAGTTTCACCCCCATATTTTTGTAATGTGTGTGGCCGGAAAATATAAGTTAAGGATGCATGTTGAATTGCTTAGCCTAGTATTTAACCTGCTGTGGAGATAAATACATACATTAAAATAATTAATTATGAATGAAGGGAGTGTTGGCTAAGGGATTTATATCACAAATATGAATGTTCACTTATACTTCACGTGTTTGTCCTGCAGATTGAACCCTGGATCAAAGAGTTGCTCGTTCAGCACTACATGCATCAATCATCTAAGCCACCCAGTCACCAAATGATTTATATATTTGACGTGATTTTGCTGCAACCAACAAATCTTCACAAGTTGTAATGTGTTGAAGAAAAACATCACAACTGCAATATCAGTCTTGGTTGCACTATGTCATGCAGAACATTGTTTTTGACAGGGGGAGATAGAAAAAAAAGTTTGATTTATACCACTATTAAACTTACAGGGTTGTAGTCAGCCTTATAAAATTATGAGATTGGTGCTCCACTATTTCCATGTGTAGAGGATTTGTACAGACACTGCTCAATGATTCAATTTAACCTTACATTTTTTATTCATCAGATGACAGAACTTAAAAAATTATATAGTTCATCACAACTGAGACCAGGCAAAATATTTATATTCAAACATGTTTTCAACATAGGTATATAACTGGCAATGTAATGAAAACAAAATATCCAATTCAATAAAACTTACACCGTCTTTTAGTGCACTTGCGAGATGGTCCTTGATTTTCAAAAGTTCCTGGCTTTCAGCAGTTTGTCTGAGGGCCTGTGCCTGCAACTGCACCATCTGGTCCCGCGTGGCGGAGTGGTCCCGATTTAGCGCGGCGTTCTCTCGGGCCAGGGCCTCTCTTTCACGGGTCAGATCCGAGATCCGATCACGGAGTTCTTGAAGCTCACGCAGCTGACTCAACATCGACACTCCACCGCTGACGGCGTTCAGGATCTGCCGAGCGGGAACTGCAAGGCAACGAGCAGGGACCAGAGCAGCAGCACCTCTTCAATTGTCACCATCATTATACTAATAAACAGTCCATTGCTCAAAGGAAACTTTACCTATTGGCAATAAGTAAATATAGAATAAAAGTATGCACATAGGAAAATAAGTAGTTAAGATTATGGTTAATCACACGGATGTAAAATAACAGGTCACTCACTACTGGGTTGCCTCATGTTAGAGTCAAGGTTGTAGGTGAATTGTTGGTAATTACATAGTAAAATCATGAACGTTTTTTACACATTACCATACATTCTATTTCATGTCATCAACCTTGGTAGACCAATATTCAAACAGCACGTGTATAAGCAGGCAAATTTTAACCAGTTTCAACTTTGTGAGTTTAATAATAAGTCTCATTACAACTTGAAACATATTTTTACCAAAACTAGTTTGTGTTAAATAAGTTTCATAATATATTAACATGAGCATATTGAATCAATACAGAGGGGCAGATTGATGTACGTGGTCACACACAAAATCTTGGCATGTTATTTTTTTATTTATCCAGGAAAGTCTCAATGTATCTCGAGAGCATATTTAATGTGGGTTTTGCATTGGAATTCTTGCCAATTCCATGAATTATTATTTTGCATTTGGAAAGAAACAAAGAATATCTAGATAAAACCCATGAGGGGATAACTTGAAGGCCGGTTCAAAACCCGTTTTCTGTACTGCTACGCTCTGACCACCTCTCAGCTCATGGATTTTGGAATTTCACAAAGCCCAATGCGATGCACTAACCTTTGCATTCAGAATGCTTGATAACAAGCACAAGCCACCACACTCATATCGTAGAAGTTTCTGGCCTGCATAGTGGACGAAAATACTTTGAAAGAACCCATGATATTCTTTGCAACAGCTTGTACAGGCTCTGTGACACACAATGACTTAATCATACCACCAATTGCTGGTGCTTGACTCCCCTGTGCTGAACTTGCAGGGTGTATTTTAGAGCTAAAGTGCCACTACTACGCATTGTTTCAAGATAACACGCGACGCACTTGTCACGCGTCACGTGTGCACGGGGCAAGGTGTACCTAGGAAGCGATCATTGACGTGCAGCGATCTGGAACCATTCCAGTGCTTGTCGACCAGATCCAGCAATTGTTCCAATGGCGGGGGAACCAGTGTGCAATCCACATCTGCCACCTAGTTACAAAAAAAAAACTCCAGTTAATTACATTGCTGCAGGCGTTAGCATTTGTGCAGGAGTCTCGTAGAGGTCTGGCAATGAAGCAGCCGGGACAGAGTGTACTTTTTCATGCAAGGTCCTCTGGCTCGGTGACGACTTGGACAGCTGGTCCAGGCTGCTCCAGCGCTTGTGAATGGCTTCATTTTCACTTCTGCTGGAGGGGGGACCTTTCCCAGTATTGCTGTCGCAGGAAATGCTGTGCATGCCCCCTGCTGGAAGATGTCAAGAAAGAAATAGCTTTGAAAGCCAAGTCTTGACATTTTAAAATGCAGCGGGATATGAGAATGGTATTGATGCGTTGTAACAGCACGCGTGTAGGATTTTTGCCGGATCCAAAACTGATCATTTTAAATGAGAAAAATCAGCTGTTTAATTTATTTACAATATAGAAATAATTATCTAAGGAGTATGAAGTCATACTTTTGTGAAAGTGCAGTTTTAGCAATTTTTTGCAAAATAAAGGATTACATTTTCTAAGTTTTAGAGTAATTAAAATACTTACACTACTTCGCAGTTGACAGAAAAAAATTATGACCATTAACACTACCTACAATATCTGTTTCAATACACTTCCATCTTTAATTACACACAAACGCACTTGGGACGCTTAATAAATCCACACAGGGCTTGTACACGGAACTTCCGCGAATATACAGTCCGGGGAAATAGCGAGAGACCCGGCTACCAGGGTGTGGCGTGAAGTTGGCGCGCCCACTAATCACGTGGTACGCCTCGGCCTCGTCCTGGAAGCGCAGGTTGGGGTCAGACGCCGTGAGGTCACGGGGAGCCTCGTCAGCGAAGGTGACGCGCACGTGGCCATCGCGGGGACGGCCAGGGGCGCTGCCCTCCCTCCCTGGCGAGCGCAGCGCCGACCTTGGCGGAGACGCCTTCAGTGCCCCTGCCAACATAGAGGGCCCGTGGATGCTCGCACAGCGACGGTAATGAATGACAAGTTAGGCTGTGCTTCCACTTGTGAATGGAGGAGACAGCTGTCCCCAGTGTGTTTTAGATGGAACCCGCAACAAGTGTGGTTAAATTCACGGCACTGGTCACTCATAATTAACCTAAACTTGTCCACATTTTCATGGAGGAATCTGATGAACGATTAATCTTTTTTTCACAGATGTCCAGTATTTTCACAGATGTCCTGTAAATTAGCACCACATTTACAGTAAAGGGGCACACCTCTTGTCAATCCACTGCTGGATGAGTAACTCCTCACACCAGGGAGTTCTTGAAAATAATTGAATGTACTTCACACTGGGCAGTGGCCAATGTGGGGAACATAGACATTGGGGCATAGTATAGTACAACAAAGGATTGTGCTATTTTATACTTCTGCTGGTATGTAAAACTTCATATTTCAGCAAACACCTCTTGATTTATGTCTGTATTTGGTCGATAGTAAAACACTTGGCTTGGGAAATGTACTGCTTTAACAATTACAGAGGTGTAGTACCTATGCTTTAAATAAAATATGACAATGAACTATTTACAAATTCATCAAAACAGTCGTGTTAAAATTATCTTACTTGCATAATACGAATGTATACATTTTGTTTTAGTACGATGCAGCACTTTTTCCCTTATATAAGAAATGATCACATGATACAGAAAATGTTACATTCTGTACAGCCACTATTTTAGTTGATTATAGTTGATGCTAAATATAAAGGAAAACAATAAATAGGCTGAATGACACTATTTTTTTTAATTCAGTAAATAATTAGTCAACTTTGCATAAAAAAAATCTGGAAATGTATATCCCATTCATCCATGTGTAATAAATTACTAACCTCCTTCATAGATCGTGGAATCAGTATAAACCTTGCTCCCAGTTCCACTTCGAAATCCTGAGCTTGTCTGTAACAATGCCATTTTGTACATCAATTAACTGTCCATGAATCATACACATCAAAATGCCTTAAGAGTTTGAAATGAGGAATGGCATCATTAGTGCCTCTCAGCAGCATGACAGCATCCGCATCATACCAAGATTAAATTAGCAGCAACATTTCCGCACTGACCGGTGGGCCGTCATGACGTAAATATCGCAGTGCAGCATCTGCTGTAGACATCGTACTGACTGATGAATTAAAATTCAGAGGCCAACTGGTCATTGGAGAAACGTGGCTGCTATATATAAGCGTGCACAGAGGCTGGTCATGCCTGTGTTCAAAGCGCCGAAATGCACCTTGGGGATTTCGATGGACTGGGTTGAGCAATTCTGGATTTGCAGGAATGGGTCCTTGGCTTTGCTTTCCTCTTGAGTAGAGCGAGACATGCCGAGTTTGTCTCCAGAAGTCACCCTGTCCATTTCCCGTATGCCTGCAGAAAAAGCAGAGTAATGTATCTATTTGCTGCTGCAAATGTCCATCTGAAGTCCCACTTTTATCTACAACCTGTACAGCCAATGAATGTATTAACTGTATGCTCCGCAGTATGAGACCTCCTTTACCAGTGGCAAAATATAGTAGTAGGTTTTTACCCTTTAAACTGGTACAAAACTGACACCTTTATTCAAGGCATCATGTTTTCAATAACCACAACACAAGTAGTCAAAATGCAAACAAAAAGAAACAACTCTGATGATGATGATAGGACTTCAAGGACAGTGCATATCATTATCATCATTTGATTGGTTCCTCAGATGGTTCTTTCCCAACGGTTGGGGTGATAGCTTTACGGATTGTGTAGTCTGAATATCCATTCATCTTGAGGGCTTGGTGTACGTGTTCCAGTTCAATGGCTAGGTGGTGCTGGTCAGAAATACATCATGCTCTATGGTGTAGAGTGTTGATGAGGGAATTCTTCTGGGATGGTGGTGGGAATCAGGTTTTAGGTAGGCATCCATATGGGTAGCTTTCCTGCAGACAGTGTCCCATTAAGCCATCTGGTCTCTTTTCGATTAAAACATCCAAGAATGGTAAGTTTCCATCCTTTTCCACCTCCATGGTGAATTTGATGGCTGGGTGTATGCAATTGATTTCTAAAATCATGAGCAAACACAAGATCCAGGTTCGATTCAACACAGTACATAAAATTAGTGATCTGATGTCATGTGATCCCTGACATGCAATACCCCGGGCATCTACAACAAAGATTCGTTCATGAAGCCATCCAGATATATAAACACAGACATAATTTAAACCGAGAAGATGGGTACAAACTGAGCAATCATTGGAAGGACGTTATTAACCAGGTTAAGTCATAACTGGCTGTGATGTTTAGTAGTTATATTAACAGGTTAAATGTCTTTACATTAACAGGTTAATGTCTCACTAACACAACCACCGTTGCTCTATGATCTAACATTGACATGCTAATCTCTAACAATGCAATGGCCACCTCCGCAGCTTGGTCGTCGTGGAGGTAGCTCAGCACTCCGATCTTACATTGGCATGCAAATTTCATCACTAGCCCTGCCCACTTTGCTTATGACCCTTGGGCTACACCCACCTCAAACCTTTATAACATCCTGCCTCAGCAGCTCTCTCGCTATTTTTTCACCCGATGACGATTGCTTGTGTTGCGATCGAAACGTCGTGATATTTTTTATTTTTTTCTATTTCCGTGGCTTTATCGAAAGACCCAAAGAACATGAAATACTAAATTGATACAAGAACCTATTATTGGATTGGTTTGTACGCACGACATGTGTAAATGGCCTAACAGACTGCATTCTTAAAGGTATTCTTCTATAAAATACATATAAGTCACAAACAAATGTGCTTCATAATAGCCTATTATAGTATTCATCAGATCATATATCACGGTGATGAGATGTTAATTACATCGCCTGGTATGCAGGTCGTGGGTTCAATCCCGACCCTGATGTCTGTATATTTATAGTTTTTGGCTGCTCTAAAATTTCACATGATAAGCGACTTCATTGAGCCATCATTTGTAGCCAGGTCGATTCTGAAAAAGAGCTATAGAGCTCAGTGGGCCTTACCTGGTAAAATAAAAATGTTCAGGTAAGTTTAGTAGTTTATTTTTTAAAACCTAGTCTGTCAGCTGTTATACCCTATTCGGGGTTGTGTACAAATTGTTGCACTTCCCTCCAATTCATCCAATTGGCATAGAGATGCATTCTCTGCATTGTAATTCTGTACAGAAATGAAATCCACTGTATTGTATTTAGTAAAGACAATTTTTCCCTGTTAAAACAATCAGTGGTACTAATATTTGTTTATAAACAAAAGCCAATGGAGGATATTCCACATTCCCATAGTGGCAGCAGCCAGTCTTTCCAAAGGACAACCACTGATGACTTCCCATCAAGCAGTACTCATATCCAAAAACAGTGGGATGATAAGCTGAGTTGACCACTGACCAGGATTTGAACTGGTAATCTTGGCATTGTGAGTCAAGCGCTCCGAGTACAGAGCGCTTGGCTTTTGCTTGCCACGTTGCTTATTTGTAAGTACATATGTTGCACTTCTTTTGCATTGTACATAGCCAACCGTGCGCTCATCGGGAGGTGCGGATTCCATTGCTGCTTACTCTCCAGGGAGTGCAGCTCGACGGAGGGCTCCTTGCTGCCGAGCGTGAATCCCGGCTGCGAAATCAAGTTGAGGACACGTTCGTCGTCGGCATCCAGCAGGGAGCGTGGTCGTGACATTGAGCTCACATACGCCGCTCTCGGCTGCAAGGGCCTGTGGGGTCAAGTAAGTGTTTTGTATTGACATGCGAATTGCTCAATTCCTTTATTGTTACCTACTTGAGAGCCCATTGAGATGAAATATCTCTGTTGTAACTGAAGGCAAGTGATTCTCCATGAGGTAACACAAATTGTAATTCGATTAATAAAATAGGATTACTAGCCTAGAGATTACAATTAAAATATAGATAATCGTGGTGGTTAATGAAACAACCAGTCTTAGCCAACTTACCTTTCATTCGTTTAACGTGTGTATATAAATTCATGGTACGCACAAAATTATTTTAATAACTAAATTACTACAGTCATCCTATGAGAAATTCAAGATTAAAATGCCCAATGTAAATGTGCTAACCAAGCAAGGCACACTTGAAAATACAACGTAAAACCATGAATTGCTAAGAGTAATAATTAATAATAATGTAGGGGTGTTAGAGAGAGAGCCCGTTATGCATGGCAGCTTATGGCAAACAAACACAGTGGGCGGGGCTACGTGAGTGCACGGGGAGGTGCCCTCTACGACGTCCGCGCCAGGCACCCTGGGGGGGCTGATTCGGACGTTATGATCCCCCGGGGCCCCACCCCTCAGCGAGGGGTTGGGTATAAAAGGGGATGTATCAAAGGGCTCGGGAGTTATGTTAAGCTAACCAGGGAAGACTGAAGACGTCTTAGATAGAGCACTGGACTCCCCTGGTTCGCCGTCCTTATCAGGGCCGAACAGGACCGAGCCAGCGGCGTGGTCCCGAGAGCCAGAGCCGGTGCTCTTGTAAGAGCTGGTCTGGGACTCCGGGTACCGGGCCCGACTTACCAGTGTCGGGCCAGATAGCCTCCCCTAGCCCGTTAGTGGAGGACTAGGAGGCAGGCTAGGAGTAGCTAGGACGTGTATCCTCAGCTAGTCGGGTGAGGGGGCCGATACCCCCTCCAGTGTTGTATGCCACGAACGTGCTGTGTTAAATAAACCCGTGTGCCTCCAACTCCGGTGTCCAAGAGTCGTGAACGCTACTACAATAATAATAACGCCAGGTATCGGTGTTTACTTTTCAGGTTCTTTAGCTGCTGGTGGGTCAGGATCCCGGAACTCGTACGCTTGATCGCTGCTGTAGTGCATCAGTGCCGCCTTCCGCTCGCTGTCTCGTACGGGCCTGTCATCTGAGTCCACGGGGGGGGGGGAACATTTGTGTCAACACTATGTATTTATCTTGTCAAAAGTCAAAGTGCCTCCCTGCTCAATCAAGCAATGTCAAAGTGCCTCCCTGCTCAATCGGTGGCAAGATGATAACTACCTCGTCTGGTAAACAGGTCGTGGGTTCGATCCCGACCCTGATTTTCTGCTGTATATTTGCAGTTCTTGTAGATGTTTCTCCGTGTCCTCCGATTTTTGCCTCTACATTTAGAAACATCCGTTTAGAGTATTTGTCTGTTATAAATAAATGCCCACATGGTAAGCCACTTTGTTGAGCCATCATTTGTGGCCAGGCTGCTTATGAAAAAGAGCAATATAGCTCAGTGGACCTTTTAGTTTAATGTGGCAGTGCTAACCTCCCTTGGTGGCCCTGAGAGCACAACCACTGAGCGCACAGCTAGTGGTCAACAATGGGTTCAACCACTGAGCATGCAGCCATCGGTCACTACTGCATTCACCGAGTGCAAAGCCAGTAGTCACCGCCAAGTTTAACCATCAAGCACGAAGCTAGTGGTCAACATTGTGGTCACAACCACCATTATACATGGGAATGTGAACATTAAACATGCATGCAATTGGGGTCAGTCAGTCCACTGATAAAGTCCCACAAAGTGGTACCCATAGAATAAACCAAAGGAAATCATTTCAGAGTGAGTAAACCCCCTGAGAATTCACTCACAACCTAACCGCTCTAATTGATATGCTCTAGCCACAGTGTTATCTTGCACAGAATGAAAACACATCAACGCAACCAACGGCATCATCTTAATGCTCCATCTTCACGCTGGGCACATATTCACTGACCCAACCGGCGCAGGTTGGGCAGCATGTGGACCAGCAGCAAGCGGTAGTCTGGCTCCGCTGCTGCCACAGGATTCAGCCGCAGGTCAAGCTCGCGCAGGCCAGACATGGCACGCAGCCGCAGCAGCTCCTGCTTGTTGGCCACGCTGTTGTAGTAGAGGTTGAGCTTCTCCAGCAATGTCAGGTGTTCCAGGCCCTGGAGACAAGGGCAGTCGTAAGAACTCGCTCCCTCTTTGCAACTTCCGAGTGAGAGAGTGTGGGAAAAGATGGCTTGCCGACTTGCCCATGGGCTCGAGTGAATTAAACAACATAATCCTTTCAAATTAGAATTACATATATAAATTCCTCTCCACTCATTTGCTAAACATTTAAATTATATTGTTATATTCAGAGCCAGCTTACTACCCATCAAGGTATGCAAAACTACGTAATATTATATGGACTGTCAATTCTTTAACATGATAATTATGTTAATGGTAAATGAAAGTCAGCATAATTTATGATAAAATATATGCACATGCGAACACAAATATTTTTTACGCAGAGTACACATTGCCCATCCATTTACAAAGCAAATACACATATACTCACTCAGTAGAAATGAGTGATGCCAGAAAAGCAGGAAGCATGTCATACTTGAAAAAACACATGTTCATTTCTTGCAGATTAAAACAATTATACATGTGTATATAATAGCTACATCGCAACAAACAAATCTATATCTAGAATACTCTTTGGTTGTTTCGGTAAAGTCACGTAGGTATAAAATAAATCACAACCTTTCGGGCACAACACAAGCGTCAATCATCAGGTTGGAAAGCATGATCTGCTGCTGAGGCAGACTGTTTTGCCGAAAGAACCAAAGAGTATGGATTCCTGCAGTCACGAAAGCTTAAAATCTATATCTATAATATGAAACAGAATTAAGTCTTAAGTGAATTGAGACGGACATGATGGAAATGTTAACATCTACCTAATGGCTATGCGACAACATGTTGATGTACATAAAAAGTCAAGCATTTCTTACATTTCAAATAACAAATCTCCTTTGAAATGAAATGTATCATGCAGTGCTTAAAACAGCAGTGCTGGAACATCAATCAACATTATCTTTAAGTTCTTGAAATTATTGCAATTAGCAGTTCACCAGGACAGCAGTTTTGGGCCCTTGTCTGTGACATATACTTTAATCAAGGCCTGACAGACAGGATCACAAAGCCAGTGGTGGGAACAAACATATGCATCACTTAACTTTCTATTCTAGTGAGCTGGGCCGTGTGCCATTAGCAGATTTAGACTTGCCATGCTCACCTGCAAGCTCACGAGAGAGTTTCTGGAGAGATCCAGAGACTTGAGCCGAGTGAAGTTCTTGAGCGAGCTACCTAAGTGGGCCACCTTCTCGCTGTACGTGCCAGGCAGCGACAGTGAACGCACATCACCTGCAACCCACACCCATTATCTCATTTTTACATTTTGAAGAACAATCCTTTCCATTTACATACAGACCATGTAACAGTTGATTAAATTATATAGCATATGCTGCATGTGTCTGTTAACTCTGGACTGTGGCAAGATCGGAATTGAAATGTACATCTTTATTCATATTAATTCACAAGCTCAACTATGAAAACTAGAAAAAACGCTTCAAGTCTGCTGTTGCATATACAGATGTAAAAACAGATTAGCTAAATAAAATATAACTTTATTGTATTCTGCATCAGTTTAAAATTATTGGTCATAGCAGTTTTCTCAAACAAACTTGACAATATATACAACAACACAGTTAACAGTATAAATTGTAAGGGTGGTAGGCTATGCATTATGAATGCTCTAGGAAATTTAACAATATTGAGATGCAAGCCAGTTCTACTTATTAATATGTATGTTTTCTTCCTGTACTTAATGTTGAATGCAAGTCAAAGACAGGGTTAAGGGCTTCTATATTTGGAAAGCCCCTAATCTACCGATTGGGTAATTAGCTGCTGGAGTGTGGTTAATCAATGTCAATTGGAATGTGGCTAACAGACGTAGAAGCTGTAGGCAAGAAACATGTTATTCAGGTTGGTAACCTTCCCTTGGCTGGTTTCGGTGGACCACATGGGTATACCATAATACAGAGGGAGAGGAAGATAGATGGTGGGCACAGAGAGTACATGAATTCACTCCCAATAGGTAGCTGATTAAAAACCATAGTCAAATCTGACACGTTTGATCAGCTATGTAGCCCAGAACCTCCGGGGCTTATATTTGCTGTGTAAGCCATTATACACAGTAATGATCTTAACATTCAGAAAAATTAATACACCTGTTTAAAGCATACCTCCTGCACTTGCAAGTATCAGCATGTTCTCAATGAATATGCTTTCTTTGCACAGTTTTGTACATGGTGTCTTGATTTGCACCATATCAGAGCTATTTGGGACATTTGTTCCTTTTGAAAATTTCTGAATATTCATTATGAAATTATACTCTGGAGTAATAGGTAGTCACTGACCTTGTGTTTTTCACAATACATAACAAACACTACGTACTGTACATCGAAGTAAAAAAACATGATTTGTAAGTGCATGTCTATATGTGTAAATACAGTCCGGCAAAAACAACCCCCTACCTACTCGTGGTGCTGGATGGCAATGCTGTGGTGGGCAGTGCCATGGGGGGAGGACCAATTTAGATTGACCATTCTGCTTATGGCGTTTGTAACCACCACAGCGGCCAAATGGGGGTTCTGGATGGGTGCGAGGGGCTGGTAACCCCTCCACCTTCAATTAATTACCACAAAACACGTATAAAATATCTACTTAATAAGCTTGTGCCGGAGGCCCCAGGGGGACAGGCGTCTATGACGTCTCCTGGCCACACCCTATTTGGCGGAGCCAGGAGATGGAATCTTTACCCTCGGGGCTCCTCCAGAAACAACAAAAAGCCACTTCGAATGGCCACGTGGAATATTCAAATGTTCACTGCAGAGGAGAGGCTGCCACTCCTCTGTCGGGAGCTGGACCGTTACCGCCTGGATCTCTGTGGTATTCAGGAGGTCCGGTGGACCAGCTCTGGCTCCTGCCATCATGAGGGGTGGACAGTAGTCTACTCGGGGCAGGAGACTGCCCAACAACAGGGAGTGGCTCTTCTTCTGAACAAAAGAATGAAGGGGGCGTGGGAGCAAGACGGTGAGGTGTTGAAAGCGGTAAGCCCCAGACTACTTTGGGCTCACCTTCCCATCAACCGGAGGCGAAGAGTGGTGATCGTCGTTACTTATGCCCCCACAGAAGACGAACATCCGTGGAGGGATGCAGGCAAGGCCGATGAGTCAGATGGGTTCTATGACCTCCTGTCACAAGTGCTAGCTAAAGTGGTCCCTCGGGATAGAGTCATCCTGTTGGGTGACTTAAATGCACGAGTTGGTCATGATGCTGGTACCTGGTCTGGAGTGATTGGAAGGCATGGGCCAGATCAGCTCAATAACAACCACTTCGACTGCTACTCGCGCACGCAACAACAAAAACTGCCACTAAGTGGCTGTTTCGTCACCACGGTACTTGTGCCATGCTTGGTGCACTTTGAAGCCACATGAAGTGTCGAAGACCCGTTGGCAGGTCACGCAACAAGCCCGGTGCCATGGGTTGACTGAGATGACTGGCAGATGCACACTATCACAATTGCACAACCCCCACTATTACCCACTCACTCACAATGTATCTCACTCAAATCAACTTGACTTTAGCCCAGAGATGCCAAGTCTCACAGGGCAAAAGAGCATGCATATTGCCCTTAAAAACACAAGCCCAAGCCTTTGTGTGGAGGAAGATGGGTGATGCCTAAAGAGAAAAGGGCCTCAAAAGGAAGAGGCTGGTGCTTAAGGATGGGGCAGGGAAAGCCACCCCAATTCTTCATATTAGAGAGTGCTTCAACCATAAATGTATCTGCTGATTTAAGGAAAATGAAAGAGGAAAATCAAATATGTGCAGCACTCCGTAAACATTTCATGCCGCAGATGCGGCCACAGGCCAACCAGTTTGTTTTGCAGCGTGATCTTCTAGAACTTACAATTGCATGCACATTAATCGTGTGACTTTCCACCAATGTCACAGTTCACATGGGATAAACAAATGGCTGTATATTATGATGTATCTTTGCAAAGTAAAAAAATAACTACCTTGGTATAAGAGTTAAAACAGCTTTCAATGTGTAGTGACATATGATGTCACTGCTGTATCGGGTCTGTACACACATGACGTCACTGCTATGTTGGGTCTGTACACGTGACGTCACTGCCTGTTCGGTATGGAGGCTATTGATGGGTGCCACGGGGGTTGTGTCAATGTGGCACTCCGAGTGACCCCGGCTGGGCACGTGACCGGATCCAGGAGGGGGCCAGGGGCCCTGGGGGACCCTGGGGGTCACATGGTCGGGGAGTGGAGCCTTCTCGTGGGTTCGAGAAGGGGGCGTGACCAGGGTGTGATAAGTGGGCTCAGCGCAGAGGGCTGGGCTGTTGGTGCCTGGGATGAAGCCGTCTCATGAAGACTCTGAAGAAAGAAGCCTCCAGTCATCGTGGCCAAGCAGAAGCCATCCTGGCTTTGCCACGCCAAGTAGTACCCGAGTTTTAGCGAGAGTAGGACGGTGGTCACCACCTTATGTGTAGGGTGTGTTGCAGTTGTGTTAAATACAGTGTTGCCTCCACATGAGTTTAAGCGCCTCTATCGAACCATTACAAATGTATACAAGTTAACAGTTGCTCATTGCTGATAGCTTAATAAAACTGTTAGGAGGATATTAGGTTTTGAGCTTGTGATTGGGGTTGCCCTACTCCAGGAAGTGATTATTCAATGATTAGTCAATGATTGGGTGTGGTCCTTCAGCCACAATAGGGTACCCAGATGCAACTCAGAATAAACTCAACATTTTCCAATGAGGAAATGAGCAAACAGGAATAGTGAGTCATGATTTCTGGTTGAATTTAGTATATAAAAAGGGTGGTGTGAAGTGAGGGGGGTGTAATAAATTATGGCAGCAACAGAACCAAACCGTTGAGTAGCCAAAATAACATTCACCACTAAGTGGCAGTGACGTCACCACGGCGCGTGTGCCATGCTAGGTGCACTTTGAGGCAGGTCACAGAACAGACCCAGGTGCCATAGGTTGACGGAGATGACTGGCGGATGGACCAATTGTGCTCCTCACTGCAAACTCTCTGCGTTTTAGCCAACCGGCCCGCCGCTCATTGCTGTGAGCATCGTTCCTAAGCCCTTCGTCTTTTGTTGCTGGAGGGCAAAAGTGTCCTTTTCGAACCTCCTCCAAAGAGGCCGCTCTTGACCCTGCTGGTACCAGTCACTGGCAAGTCCAATTAACTCCACATCCTAGACCACATCAGTCCATCTCTTCTCTAGCCTGTGCCGTGCCCATTTAGCTCAAAATAACACGTTTACCACCCACGGTCCCCAGTCCACAGCAGACACTAGCCATGGCATTGGTTGGGAAGGTAAAGGAGCAGGGGGTGACAAGTCACTGGGTAAAAACAAGACACCAGCATTTAACCACTGCTACGTACAAAACACACTATGGGAAATCTTGACTTAAAGCTTTCGTGACTGCAGGAATTAATATTCTTTGGGTCTTCTTGGTTCTTTCGGTAAAGTCACGTAGAAGGGAAGTAATAAAATAATAAAAATAAAACATAATAAAACAATTCTCACGACGTTTCGGCCACAACGCAAGCAGCCGTCCTCAGGTGAAAACCAGGTCCGTCGAGGCGACAGAGTCTGAATGAAACAGCACACGAGCTTGGAGCATATATATAAGCTGGGCGCATTGACAAAGGAATTTGCATATCAAAAGTAATTTAGCATATTTATGGGAAATGCAGGAATGTGATTAGTACTGCATATGCATGTGCATTATGCAGGATTAACAGCATCAAAGGGAGCTGCAGTTACTGCTGCTGCTGCAGTTGCTGCTGCTGCAGTTGCTGCTGCTGCAGTTTCTGCTGCTGCTGCAGTTGCTGCTGCTGCTGCAGTTGCTGCTGCTGCTGCAGTTGCTGCTGCTGCTGCACTTGCTGCTGCTGCTGCACTTGCTGCTGCTGCTGCACTTGCTGCTGCTGCTGCACTTGCTGCTGCTGCTGCAGTTGCTGCTGCTGCTGCTGCACTTGCTGCTGCTACTGCAGTTGCTGCCTTATCCATTTTAATATAACACTATGTATTATTCTACCCACCCTAATGTGTATCACACTGCTATATGTTTACTATACAATTACGACACCATACATTACTCTGCACACTGCACCATGCCAGTGAGTGGAACGCGGTCTGAAAGTCACCGTAAACATGAACACAATCAGTTAAGATCCGAAATGGTTTATTACGTCCTTCCAATGATTGCTAAGCCAGAATCCATCTTCTCGGTTGAAATTGTCTCTTAAATCGTGAGAGATTCGTTCATGAGGCGATCCACATATACAAACACAGAGACAATTTCAACCGAGAAGATGGATTCTGGCTTAGCAATCATTGGAAGGACGTAATAAACCATTTCGGATCTTAACTGATTGTGTTCACGTTTACGGTGACTTTCAGACCGCGTTCCACTCACTGGCATGGTGCAGTGTGCAGAGTAATGTATGGTGTCGTAATTGTATAGTAAACATATAGCAGTGTGATACACATTAGGGTGGGTAGAATAATACATAGTGTTATATTAAAATGGATAAGGCAGCAACTGCAGTAGCAGCAGCAAGTGCAGCAGCAGCAGCAACTGCAGCAGCAGCAGCAAGTGCAGCAGCAGCAGCAAGTGCAGCAGCAGCAGCAAGTGCAGCAGCAGCAGCAAGTGCAGCAGCAGCAACTGCAGCAGCAGCAGCAACTGCAGCAGCCAGAAACTGCAGCAGCAGCAGAAACTGCAGCAGCAGCAACTGCAGCAGCAGCAACTGCAGCAGCAGCAGTAACTGCAGCTCCCTTTGATGCTGTTAATCCTGCATAATGCACATGCATATGCAGTACTAATCACATTCCTGCATTTCCCATAAATATGCTAAATTCCTTTTGATATGCAAATTCCTTTGTCAATGCGCCCAGCTTATATATATGCTCCAAGCTCGTGTGCTGTTTCATTCAGACTCTGTCGCCTCGACGGACCTGGTTTTCACCTGAGGACGGCTGCTTGCGTTGTGGCCGAAACGTCGTGAGAATTGTTTTATTATGTTTTATTTTTATTATTTTATTACTTCCCTTCTACGTGACTTTACCGAAAGAACCAAGAAGATGAATCCCTGCAGTCACGAAAGCTTTAAATCGAAAAATTCTTTGGGTCTTTCGGTAAAGTCCTCACATCAGGAGGAATGATGACGATCGCTTGTGTTGTGATCGAAACGTCGTAGTTTTTTGTTATTTTCTTTGAACCTATCTACGTGACTTTGCCGAAAGACCCAAATAATTACTATGGGAACTTAAATGTTGTAAAATAGAAAATAAAACTGGGAGATATACATTGCGATATCGCTGGGACTTCATGAGATAAGAAGAAAAAGATGACTCTATACACGCAAATCGTAGCAACCTGTGGTATTACAGAGGTAGAGCTGATTAATTATGGATTGCTATTCTTAGTCCCTGTGGGAATTGACTATTCAAGAATACTTGATTTGGTTGCCAAGCTAACATTAAAGTGCTGGAACCACACGATTTAAGTAATTTTATGCACCAACAAGAAACCATGAAGATGTAAACCAAGTACTAAATTAGCCGACTCTTTGAGGGCAAAACCGATCACAGCATAATTTATTGATCAATGCAATAACAGTTAAAAGGCGCAGTGATGCTTGTAGTGACATCATGGATGTCATGGTGTGGTGCCGGCCCAAGAGAGGCACGGCGTGCGATGTACTTACATCGCGGATATCACGTACATGTGGGTGTAGTACCAGCCCTAGAGGGGCTCGGTGAGCGCTGATAGAGAGCGCTGAGTGGCACCACGCTCGGCGTGCAGTGCCGACCCCTATAGGAGAGGGGTGTGAGGGTGCCGGCCATGAATGGGGTTAAAGGCCATGGCACTCTAGTTGACCCTGGAAGGCACGTGACGGGTAAGATCTACACAGGGGCCCCAAATGGGGGCTAGGGCTGGTCAAGTGTCGGGGCGAGTTCCTGCTAGAGGGTTCAAGAAGGTGGTCGTGGCCAAGGAAGGAGCCAGCCATGACCGGTGAGGATATAAGCCGGGTCCCCAGCGTTGCTGTTGTTATCCTGAAGATCTACGTTCTACATCCAAGAAGAGTCACCACACGTGGACCTGGACCCAAGCCGGGGTCCTGTCCCTTGTAGCTATTCCCAGTGTAATTATGGTAGTTAGCCTGGTGGTCCACCACCATAGGTTGTTATCTGGTAAAGGGGCAGTTGCCCCTTTGTGTTGGTATCAATAAATGTGTTGCCTCCAAAGAGTACGTCTGCGACTCAGTTGAATCCACTACACTAGGATGATGGTGAATTTGGCATCGGAGAGAGAGCATTTATGTTTACAGCCAGCAGGGAGTCTGGAATGGACATGGAGGAACTTAAAATTAAATTGACTTAATTTTCATACCCCAACCCCGGCATGTCATCCTCCGCAAAACAAACACGGGTTACACTTCAACATTGCCAGAGGACAACATTAATTGTAATAAAAAAACTAGACATTTATCATCAGTAACTTAGTTCATGAAATATGAGAATCAAGCCTGATTCTAACACACTCAAATCGTCAAGAGAAAATATTTAAATGGTTGTTGCCACTCTTAAAATAATAATAACTAGCGCTGTGATGGACGGCGCTTTAAAACAGGGCGAAGTAAATCTAAGCTTTTAAAAAAACTGTAAGCCATGAAGAAAAGAAGATTTTACTGCTACTCTGCCCTCTACTTGCCAGCACGTAGCGCAGCTCCACGATTGCCATATTGTCAGCATTCTAATGCAAGTGTTGATACCTTTTCCCCCTAGCCTGGCATGCAGGAGGCTATGAGTTCAATCCCGGACCCTGACGGTGCATGTCCATTCGCATGTTCTTTCTCCCCATGATTGCATGGATTTTTCTCCGGGTCCTCCGGGTTTACCCTTCACATAAAAACAACATGTGTTTAGATTATTTGTATTTGACTACTATAAATGTCCACATATCATATAAGCCACTTTGATTACCTAGCTCTCGTTTGGCCAGGCTGCCTCTGAAAAGTAACTAATAGCTCTGTGGGATTTACTTGGTAACTAAAAGTTTAGTTTAAGTGACAAAGTAGAGTATTGTTGTGGTGGCTGTTGAGCACGTGTGGGAAAAATCGATAGAAGTGTCGGAAGTTGACACCACGTATGTGGAGCTATTGTGCGCGTGCAAACCCAATTATAGATGTTTAAGAGGTTTGTCGTAAATAGTTTTAACTGACTTGCGGCCGAGAGGGCTAGATTATACACCGTGATAAAAGTACATCAGAGATAAATGTTGTAAACATTTGACGATTATATGCATTACGTTCACTATATGTGATGTAGCAAGGCTGTTGAAACGTTTATTTTAAATACATATATTTGATGTAATTTTAAAATAATATACTAACCTATTGTGTACACATCTGTTTATAATTGTATGCATCATCCAGGTGAACACTACAATAAGATGCACCGGAATGTAAAGATGCACCTGCCCAAACTTATACAGTCGTTATAACAAATTTGGTCTCACACACACACATCGGATTATACGACGCATCCCAAACTATTTATAATACAGTCCGTCACAGGCCTATAGGGGCGCCGCGGTGGCGAGATGTCGACGACCTCGCCTGGTATGTAGGAGGTCGTGGTTTCGACCCCGACGCCTGCTGCTGTATAATTGATCCTCATGGCGGTAACCCGGGGTAACCAAATAATACAGAAATGGCCAAGGCAATTAAATATTTTATTTCCGGGACATTTTTTTTCCAGGGGTGTTACTTAACTCCGCGACTGGGGTACCAATCAATCCGAAATCAGTGCTACTCCGCGATGTGGAAACGCCAAACATCAGCATAAAAAAATCCGTCATCGAAAATGAATAGTTTGAATAGTGCATCGTGTACAACTCGTCGAGATGAGTCGATTGCCGCATCGCCGACCATCAGCAGACTAAACATGACTGCATCACGGACATTGAACTATGGAACCCCAGGATACCGCCATATGGTAAAATTGTCGTTCGAGTATCCCTTCTCTGCCCGTGGTCGCGTGAATTTCTATCCGGGTCCTCTGGTGGCTCACCACACATTTAGAGTCAACACCACGCAGTTTTAAGAGCATGTGGCTGCTTGTACATGTGTCCACTTGATAAGCCACTTCGCTGGGCTAGCATTTGCGATAGCCTGGTCGCTTCTGAAACACATTCCTGCGGAGGGAGCTGGTAGGAACGTTGGGTTGCTCGGTCAATTGCCAGGGTCAACGGCGGCGTGGTGTATTCCGCAAATATGCCCGACTGTGAGGGCGGGCACAAGCCGGCGTGAGTAGGTTAAACGTTGAGTTTTATAAGGACACCAGCCGCACCCTCCCCACCCAGCCCCACCCCTCCCACCCAGCCCCACCCCTCCCACCCAGCCCCACCCCTCCCACCCAGCCCCACCCCTCCCACCCAGCCCCACCCCTCCCACCCAGCCCCTCCCCACCCAGCCCCTCTCCACCCCTCCCACCCAGCCCCTCTCCACCCCTCCCACCCAGCCCCTCCCCACCCAGCCCCACCCTCTCCTCCCCACCCAGCCCCTCCCTGCACGACGGACACAATAATCCCCTGTGGGCTGGTGTAACCAGGAGGTGCCTACTAGTAAAAAAAAAAGCTACATAGCTAAGTGGGACCTTACCTGGTAAGAACAAAGTGCGTCCTATAATCGTGAGAACCTCGGTCGGGGAATCGCATTAAGAGCAAAATTTAAACGCCACAAACTCGCGCGAAATTAGCCCGGGAAGAGCGAATTGAAATCCCCACTCCGCATTAGCGGTCGTCGGCGGCGGCTCCGTCACGGGGTCGTCACCGCGGGCCTCGCCCCGGCCGCTCCCATTGGCTGAGCCGACGGCGGCGCGTCATCTCGCAGCGCCTCGTCCAATCAGCGCGGCCCGTCCCGCCGGGCCACCACGACCGCGACCAATCGCCGCTTAAACGCGTGGGAATTGTAATCACGGGCGTTTGATACGCGGGACGGCGATATTTCAATTATATTTAAAAGTATAACAACACAGCCGCGGTAGACGCTACGTTAGCGACGGCTACGTGAAGGGCTGTGCGCGATAAGCCTCACCGAGGTTGTCGTGCGCGAGCTGCAGCCGCTTGCGGACCCAGTCCTCCGTGGCCGTGAGCGCCATCGCGTTCAAACTGAACGGCGCCATGGCAACTGCGCATGCGCAGAGCGCGATCCGTGTCCATGGTAACGAGTTGGGGGGGGGGTGAAGGGAGGTGGGGAAGAAGTTGGGGGGAGGTGGAGAGGAAGGTGGGGGGAGGTGGGGTCGGTGGGGGGGTAGGTGGGGGGGGAGAAGTTGTGGGGGGTCATTATCTCCCGTCACGATTGGCTAGGCTCGGCACGTGTTCTCTCTGAGTCATAACGTTTTATTTAGACTGGAAGAATCCGATGAGCTACGAATCATCATTTTCACAGATGTTACAACAATAAACGATACAAAAACCGATAGGAGTGCAACGTATTGGAAAGCTAAGCAAGTCACACAATACAAAAAAATAGTATTTAAGTACAAATTGCATAAGCACATCAATCACCTGCCGATTTTAAAACACCGAATGCAATCATGGACAAAGCAGCAAAACAAAACCGGTCCCAGACCACACCAATAAAAACACACAGTCCCTCCATGAAATTACACATTTCAAATGAACAATCCATATCAATTGTGGGTTTTTTTTCCCGAGGTGGTGTTGTTAGCCCCACGCCCAACCCTCAACCCCCAACCTGGAGGACCAGGGCTTGTCCATTTCGGCTGTCCTCTGCCCTTTGACCAGTGGGGCATGGTTGGACCTGCTTGGGAGTCTGAGGCTCCTGTCGGCTTTGCTCTTTGGGTCATGCAGGCACACGAGCATTTCTGCCACGACAAGGCGGCAACCCATGAAAGTAATAAGTAAAACTACCGATCCAAGGTTAAGGATCAACGCTAATCTTCCGCTTTAGAATACAATTTTGAAGGAAGATTTAAACGAACAAATGAAACGCAACCACGTGCATTGTTAAATGCGGTGCCTACAGAGAAAGGGGCCCAAATAGAAGGGAACAGGGGCTAAAGTGGAAGGGTCAGGGCCTAAAGAGGATGGGGTGGGTAGGGTTGCGGGATGACCCCAATTCCGCATGTAGCATTTACGTGCTTCAACCATAAACTTAGCTGCTGACTCAAACTAAAAATAGGTGCAGCAGGCAGAAGACATAAACGGTCACGCAAACTCTGGTCATCCTCGAAGCGGATTATGGCTAGCCATCGAACAAAGACGGTCACTGGCATTGTGCGCTTTCAGATGCGCTTCTGTGGCCGTCTGGAACGCTCTTCCGATATTTGGAAGCCAATGGAGCTATGCATTTTTAAAACCTAGATTGGAAACTCACTTCTTTAGAGTTTGCGTGATGGTTTATGCTCCTTGACTAGATCAGCAGGGTATTGTGGTTCATTTGTGACAAGCACTTTGTGTGTAACGATTGCGACCTTATAATGATCAATGACAGAAGATGTTCTGAGACCTCGTTCCACCAAGAGATGGGGCGATGGAATCAGCTGGCCAGTCTACAAGCGATCCGGAAAGTATTCCGTGAAAAATTAAGCTGTGTGCAGACCTTTTTTAATCAGCTGTTGGATGAAGGACTCCCTGCACCGTGCGAATTTGACCATACATCACGACAGACACCAGTCATCGTTGGTTCAGATATCACTCTCTTCTGGTGTTAGCCGTGTTGGGGAATCAGTCTGTGGTAGCCGGGTTCATAATGCGCAATCCTCTGTGCAATCGCCAATTATGAGTACTCGTCACATAATGAAACAATGTATATGGAATTTTACCAAGTAAGGCACCCACTGAGCTATATAGCTCTTTTTAGGAAGCAACATGGCCACAAATGATAGCTCAACTTAGTGGCTTCTCATGTGGAAATGTATTGCAGCCAAATACTCTAATAGCATGTTTCTAAATGTGGAGGGAAAAACCGGAGGACCTGGAGAAAAATGCACGCGACCACGGGGAGAACATGCAAACTCCAAATATACAGGCGTCAGGGTTGGGATCTAACCTACGACCTCCTGCATACCAAGCGATGGAATTCAGTAATTAGCATTACATCCCAAGCAGGATCCCACAAAAAGACTCGAAACTCATTTCATGTTACTTTCCAAAAATATATACTGTATTTAAATTACCATTCATATCTCACCCATCACACCACATACAGTATATCTCTGGCTGTGACTAGTGGAGCAGGTCCCGAACTGTTACAGCCACACGTCGGTTCTCTGTCGCCCCCTCGGTGTGGAACTCGATCCTTTTGCGCATCCGCAACATCAAATGCATTCTTACTTGCAAGAAACATCTAAAGGCCGGTCTGTGTTTGGTCAGGTTTCCGAGCAGTCCTGAGCTTGTCTCCGCGTCTCTGAGTTATTGACTTATCTGAAAAATATGGCGCATTATAAATATCATTATTGTTTTATTATTATGACGTGAATATTCGTTCAAATGGTGATACAAGCAACCACATTTGGTACGTGTTATCACTTCGGGTCACTTGATGATGAAAAGTGATCCACCTAACAATGTAAGACGGCCACTAAAATCAAAGAGTACCACGGCCAAAAATAGGCGGCTAATGGTTTTTTTTCTTAAGTGAGCCTCGGTCAGGGGTCGGCAACCAAAATAACAAGAGCCATTTCTTTAGAATTCAGTAAAAACAAAAAAAACTCAATATTTCAAGAGCTGCAATTCATGTGGTGAATACGATACGGTGGTCCTTAATAAATAACGTCACGAAGCAGTCCTTTAAAGAGCCGCATGTGGCTCAAAAGCCACAGGTCGCCGACCCCTGTCCTAGGAGACAATACGTGCCGAATTTGGCGCTTTTATCACCATTTGAACGGCGACTCGTGTTGTCTGCTCCACTATTACGGTACGCGAGTTTTGAGTTAACCCTGTTGTACTATGGCATATTGCACGAGGGTGAACTTTTGGCGTGGACTATTTTCACAATAATTTTGTGTTTATGTATGTTGAACTTCTTTCGCACCATACGTAGCCAACTGTTCTAATCGGAGGTGAATTTTAAGTAAAATGCAAATGACAAAGGTATTGATGTGTTGTGCAAATATAGGTAAATTCAGCAGTATAACTTGTTTGAGCTCAAACTCCGAGTGCAGTTATATTGCCATCATTCTCAACTCACTGTGCCCCATAAAATGAGCGCCACCTGTTAACGCTCAATTACTTGGCGGAAAAGTCAACAGAATGATGTGCCACTGGGATCGGCGTTAACAGCATGTTGCAGAGCTTCACAGTTCGATTTCGGCACGTGTGATTTAAACGCACAATGCCACGCTGCCACGAATATGAAAAGTACAACGCGGTATCATCAAAGGTGCACCCAGCTGGGTAGATCTTTCAGAAATTTGAAATTGTAACTAATTATTTCTGATTGCATTAGAGAGAAAACAATATTGCAATGTATATGTAATCGAATTTTGTTTAAAAAAAAAAGTGTGACTACTACAGAGGAAACAAACGTGCCCTCTCCTTAAATGATGTTTGGCTGGCGACTGCCCTAAGTGGAGAGCACCTATTCTGAACTATGTGCTTTTTATCACTGCATCCAGTATAGCATTTGCATGTACAGTACTATATTATGTGCCTATACACGCTATACAAATGAGTTGATTGCTCTGTACCCTAAAATTATTTGAATAATTTTCGGTCAACCGGCGAATAAAGGCCTCACGCCATACTTCATTGCGACGGGTCAAATTCAGAGCGCAGTGTGCAACCACTGCACTGCTGCTCCACACACTGCTCTATGTACATTACAGAGTATATGCTATACACTGTGTACTGTACATAATATAGGTTTTTTTATATCGCGTAAATATAAGGGTTTTGACGTAAATAAAACGTGCCAAGTAGTTACTAGTTAAGCACACCAGTGTGTTGGAGAGATTAAACCCACAACATTTACAATTCGAGTACGACATTTCGCCGGTAATTACAACCAGCATCATCAGGCAACAGCCAGAAATAACGACGCATTTACGCGATCTGTAGAGTCGTAAATAGCATCTCTACGGCGTATAACAACCACAACTGGTAAATAAGTGTGCACGTACCTCTCGATGGGGCCGAAGGAGATGTAGCGGGGAAGCAGGCCCTACAGAGCAGGGTCCCGTCCCAGAGAGAGAAAGGGGACGTGCTAACAAGGGGACCCAGAGGACATGTCACGCTGGCTCCAGTTCCGTCGCGAGAGAACGAGGAAAGGGCGTGGCCGTAGGCGGAGCGAGGCCACGCTCGAGAGAATAAGAGGGACGGAGGCGAAGCAATCGTGGTTGTCTGGCGGGAAGAGCTTACCGTGCGGCGTTGCTTCGGGAGTCTTGGAGTGTCAGTCGTCGAGGACTCAGTTTACATAGAGATCCCTTTGGGGGTCTAGAATATCCCCGAGTATTGTTAGCCCGTAGCCCTGTTCAGTTGTTAATAAATCGTGGTGCCTCCAGACTTCTGTGTGTGTACTCGTGAGATACACACTACATCTGGTGCCAAAAGTGAAAATACTTTATAGCTAGGTGATAGCATAGGCTTAAAATGTACACGAGAAGAAGGCAACCTATCAGGGCTTCTTCGGAGGAAGAGAACGAAGAGGGGGTGATCCCCCAGACAGCCCTGGGAGAGGCGGCCCCGGAGATGGACCGCGAGGGGTTTGGGCCTGTGGAGCAGCGTCAGAAACGCGACCTCACCACGCCACCAGCAGCGGGGAGAGACAAACGGGCACGTGGCCAGTGCTTGGCCGACCTACTGTCCGCTGCGGCAGTACTCGTCGCAGAGATGGACCTGGACGAGCCGGCTGAACGAGTGGGAGGACCGGAGCCGCTGGGCGAAGACTCTGCTGTTACGTCCCGCGCGTGGGAAACGCGGGAAGCGCGGGAAACGCAGCCCGCGCAAACGGTCGCCATTTCACGCCATCGCGAGCGTCCCGCCAAAAATGCAAATGGAGGGGCGTGCTCTGAAGAGGCGCCTTCCCTTTGTAAAGGAATTCGTCGTGGCAAGCGGAGATTGGGTGGCCTTCAGCCGCCGCTTCACTGCTACTTGCGAACTGGTGGGATGGACGAAGAGGGAAGCGCTGCGTGCGCTCCCAATGGTGTTAGATGACGCCGCCTTGGGAGCATTCTACTCCATTCCAGCCGAGGATCGAGTGACATTGGCGCAAGCTCTTCAACAGATGGCGGGGGTTTTAGACCCGCCATCTAACATGTGCCATAAGTTTGCTGCGCGGAGACGAGAGGAAGCCGAGACGCCCCTTGTCTTCCACAGCACGCTTATCTCGCTGGCCCAGGCGGCGTACCCAAAAATGGACAAGGACGGCCTTGACGCATTGGTCTTGGATCGCATGCTGGGGCTGGCCCAGGAGCTGGACGTTGTGCTGCCTGCCTGCCTGCCTCCGACGACGACGACTTTAACCGTCTCGTGTGGGAGACGGTTAAAATTCCGCCTGGAGCGCAAATGCTGGTGCCCTTGCGCCTCAGGGGGCAACTTGATGGGGATGCCATCAAGGGAGTTGTTCTTCTAACTCCATCCAACAAAGTGAGCCGTGGCCTTACGTTGGTAGAAGCCCAAACTATCATCAGAAATGACCAGCAGCCTTTCATTCAAATGTAAAACGCTGGTCTTGGGCCCACTGCCATACAGGTGGGCACGGTCCTAGCTCACGCATCGCCAGCAGATGGCGATGTGATAATGACGGACCCCGTCAAGATGGTCACAGCTGCGGAGCGGGGTGAGAGTTGCGACGACGCGTGCGTGGACGCACTCTGTGCCAAAAGCCCCGACTTGTCGGAGGTGCAGAGATCCGCATTGCATGCGCTCATTAAGGAATTTTCAGACATCTTCAACAAATCCAAATACGACATTGGCCGCACGTCGTTGGTACACCATCAAATCGACATAGGCAATGCGGCCCCCATTCATCAGAACCCGTACAGGCTGAGCCCGACTGAGAAGGAGCATGTTCGTCATGCAGTTGGGGAGATGCTAGCCACGGATATTATCACCCCTTCCAACAGTCTGTGGGGGGCTCCAATTCTCTTTGTCAAAAAGCAGGATGGCACCTTGAGGTTTTGTACGGATTTCTAAAAGTTAAACAAGGTATCTGTTGCCGACGCGTACCCACTTCCGCGGATGGATGATTCCCTGGATGCCTTGTCAGGGGCGCGGTTTTTTTCTACCCTTGACTTGCTTTCTGGCTTTTTGCAGTTGCCCTTAGATGGTAGTTCCAAGCCTAAAATGGCATTTTGAACTCCCCAGGGCTTGTTTGCGTGTAATCACCTTCCCATGGGACTCCATTCCAGCCTAGCCACAATCCAACGGCTTATGGAATTTATTTTGGCAGGGCTCCAGTGGGACTCGTGCATAATCTATCTCGATGACGTTATCGTCTTTGCACGTACATTCGATGAGCACCTACAACGGTTGCGAGCCGTTTTTCTCAAAATGCGGGCAGCTAATTTAAAATTCAAGCCGCAAACATACAGTTTTCTGCAGAGGTCAGTCCGATATCTGGGCCACATTCTGAGAGAATCCGGAATAGCGACAGACCCTGACAAAACGGCGTGTGTGCGTACATGGCCGACCCCCAAGACGGTGGGTGAAGTGCGAAGTTTTGTCGGGTTTGCCTCCTATTACCGTCGATTTGTGCCCGGCCTTGTGACTATCACAAAACCCCTGCATGTTCTTACTGCCAAAGGCCAGAAAATTTGTTGGGGGACGGAGGAGGAGGTGGCGTTTGTCGCACTGCGGGAGGGTTTGGTCAAAGCACCTCCTCTCCGCTATCCTGACTTCTCCCGACCTATTCTCCTCGACACGGATGCCAGCGACACAGGGATTGGTGCCGGGCTGTCCCTGGTGGTTGACGGGGTTGAAAAGGTCGTGGCTTATGGGAGTCGTTTGTTATCCCCTGCGGAACAGCGGTATTGCGTAACGCGGTGAGAATTGTTGGCCATCGTCTATTTTATCCAAGTGTATCATCTGTACCTCTATGGGAGGGCATTTGAGATGCGGTTGGATCACACGGCCCTTCAGTACGCGCTGCGGGTTGAACAACCATCCGGGCAGCTCTCGCGGTGGCTAGAGGTCCTTCAGGACTATACTTTTAAAGTATCGTACAGAAAGGGCGTTCGTCATGGAAACCCGGACGCTCTCTCGAGACTGCACCTCGAGACTCATGTGCATGCCTCATGGGTGCGGGAAGCTGCAAAACCCCTGCTGGGGAGTTGCCTCAGGCTATGGCGGCGTCTGCGGACGTTCGGCCTCCAGATATGGTCCAGATGCGTGATAGAACACTCAGCCTCACGCATGATGAAT